TGTATCCTCTTCTTTAAAAAGCAACTCTTAGTTAACATTCAGGTCATATCTAGTATATCGGAATCAACAATATTTGCATTTTGTGGAAGTTTCTCCATTTTAAAATAAAAGCAAGTACAAGATAAATAATACAAATAAAATAAAAATATTTATATAAGAAGCCAAAGTGCAATAAAATAATCAAAAATGTAATTTAAGATATATATATATATATTAACATAAGAAGTTAAGGTAAAATTCACAGTAAAATATGTTTTAATTGAATTCAAATATTTATTTAAACCAAAGAATGTAAAAATGTTCAATAAAAAAAATATAGATATAATAACAAAATAACTTCAAGTTAAAATGTGCACAATTCCAACAACCTTCTAAAAGTCAGTACCTTGTTCTCTTCACCTACTTCCTGAATTGCCTAGTAAATCAAAAAAGTATAATTGAAGACAGATTTGATCAAATTAGATAATGTAAGGTGACTGCCTTTACTGTCGGGTGTTAATCACTTTATATGAACTGCGTTTTGATGTTGGATAACAACATCTGCAGGCCATGTGTGCAGCTGATCACATAGCTCCAGTCCAGATGCCCTGCAGCGAGTGGTTGGAAGGTGATGTTGTGTTTGCAGTCAGCATCCGTCCCAGGGCATCAATACTCACCTCTGTGTTGCTGCTGCAATCTTCAGTAAGGCTGATTGCAACAAGAGCGATAACGACCGGCGCTGAGTTAGAGGAGCAATAAAACAGACTTCCTGGTGATAAAAGCAGCAGCGTGATAATACAAGTCGATATAGTCAGAACTTGATATCATGTTTGGGTGTTTTGACCTATGATACTGAGCCTAGTGAGTCAAATTCATAGAAAGGGTGTAAGCTAACTTTTCTGGTAACACTTTTGTATGACACCAGAACGTTTTATTTAAAATAAAGGGAGAAAAAACGTCATCAAACCACACACACAATGTTGTTTAATTTGTTTAACGGGTCTGATTTGAATTGCATTATTATACATAACATCTGTTAGAAATATGAAAGAAAGTATTAACTGAATGACCACCAATTCTGAAATTATTCTTGACCTAAGAAGTCATAATAAAATGCTTTATAATTGAATAATAATAATAACTGTATGATTATTTCTGTAAAGCATTACTGATATTTGTTTGTTAAAAGCTGATTTTAACACAATGAAGATATATTTGACAGAAACGCATGCCACAGACTTTGGGAAGTGAGACATAAATGTGTGTGTGGGCCTTCTTAGAGAGTGTGTTTCACATCATTATAGGGTGTGTGTGTGTGTGTGTGTGTGTGTGTGTGTGTGTGCCACAGGCTTCACACAGCCTGATAATGAACACATTGATCTGGAACAGCAGAGAGGAAAAGGACAAACGTCGGTGTATTAATGGCGTCTCTCTTCCCTCTTCATTATTTCTCAGTCTTTCATTAATAGCTGCTGTTTGTGTTATTTATCTTTCATTCGACACTGCCTTTCCACGTCATTTATTTTATTTACACCTTTTGATTGCTTTTTTACTCGTTATGCTCAGTTGTTTATACATTAAAGATTAATATGACATAGTGTTAATTTCGTTGACTAAAACTATGACGAAATATGTTCGTCAACGACCTTTTTTTCCATGACGAAAACAAGACGATGACGAGACGGCACCGACGGCAGTAAACAATAACTGTAACGAAATCAACATGCAATATCGTTGACGAAAAGTGACGAGACGAAAATGTAGTTTACTAAATAAAAACTGCCAAAATCTCTCGAAATATTATCAAAGATAACGTTACATCTCTGATAGTCAGTTTTTCTCCCAGCAGTTCAATTTCCGGTGCTGCGGCTGGGTGCAGCAGCTGTGTGTCTGTGCCGCGCGCCGCGGTACATTTGAAATACACCGGACAGCGGCACACTGTGAACTGTCAGGAAGACTCGGGTCTAACTCATGGTCTAACTAACCTTATTTAACAGAAAATAAAATGGAAACAACACCCCCCCGTCAGCACGAGTGAGTGATACATTTTGCACTCGACGGGTAATAATGGATTATGACTGAAATGTTACGATCTTGTCTGTCAAAATGACTGACAACGAAAAAGTATAAAGCCACCACTGCTTGGGAGAAAGAAACGATGTGATATTTGGGCCCATTTTCGCTACAATGAGGAGGAGAAAAAAAGCGAATGCATTGTTTTATCAGAAGGGAAGCAATGTGGCCATAACACAGCTGGTAAAAACACCACAAACCTGACCAGATACTCTCTGCAAAGCTGCATTCTTAATCATTCAACCTGTGTTTTTCATCAAATAAGGACAAGATATAATCTTATTGTGAAATAAGTTTGACTAAAATGACAAATTATTGGTTTTGGCTAGACTAGTTTGACTGAAATGTTCTATATCATCTGATGACTAAAAAAGACTCAACAGTTTTCATTGACAAAAAATAGACTAAAATAATTAGTTTTCTTCGACTAAAATAAGACTAAAATGCTCAGACTTTTAGTCGACTAAAACTTGACTAAAATAGTTACTGTTTTAGTCGACTAAAATAAGACTAAAATGCTCAGACTTTTAGTCGACTAAAACTTGACTAAATAAAAACAGGATGAAGGTGACTAAATATGACTAAAACGAAAAAGGAAATTTAACACAGGACTATGACTAAAACTAAATTAAAAAATTGCTGACGAAATTAACACTAATATGACATCAAAGATAAAGGAAAAGGAAAATAATGAGATGATTTCCAATTGTGAAAATGTCCCAGGTCGATTATAAAAACATCCTATCCAAAGAAGGTAATATTAAAACATGTGTCTTTTTCCTTTTCCTGTTTTATTATATCTTTTAGTTCTACTATTAAACCTTTTTGACCTTGAACTACTCCTTGTTGCAGTTCCATTGGAGTCTAATTTTGTTTTCACCCACTCATAACCTCATCTCCTTTTTAAGCAAGTGCAAGTTAGATTAAAACCTCTCATAAAAAAGGCCTCAGTAGCCAGCCTAGCTTAGCACAGCGGGGCCGCCAGTCTGCAAAGTCGGGAAACATTTATTTCCACTTTATATGTATGTTTTCTTTTCATATTGTTTATTTTTAGAGGCATATAGTGTTGCCTTGGAGCCAGGCTAGTTTCTATTTCTATTCCTACTGCTAAGCTAAACTTCACTAGCTTGCTCTGCCAGTTTGCATTTTGTAATTTGTGATGATAAAGAAAGGTTCAATAAGACGATATCCACATTGGGCTGCATGGTTCCTCAAGGGCAAGCACATGTAATGCAAGATTCATATAGGCAGATGCTATAAATAAAGGAAATAAGATGTCCATGTTACTGAAATCATATAGCAGCTACTGTTAGGTCCAAAGCCCGAGGCATGGCTATATGAATCTCCTCTCCTCTCCTCTCCTCTCCTCTCCTCTCTCCTTGCTGGGAGTATCTAAGCATAAAAAGAAAAAGTGAACATTGCTCTTTCCCTCTCTCTAGAATAAGATTTCTATTTGCCAACTGAAATATGTACTCTGTAGGACATAATCGGACATATTTAATAAGATAACAAAAAAGAAATAGCTGTAATAAACCCAGACTACTTTAGAAATAGCACATTTCTGTAATCCAATGGACATGACTAATTGCCCCAAAAATATTCAATAAATGATTAGACTTATATGATCCAACTTTGAATACTAATATTGCCGTTGTTCTCTTTATATTCCTCTCTGCTCCTAATGTAAATCACTCTCACTCTCCCTTTAACTCTGGATGTATTCCTCGGATGTATTCCTCATGTTGTCTCTATTGGTATGACAAACATGTTCTTTATTCACCCGAGCTCATTGATCTCTCTCACTGCTGCTAATGAGCTAAGTGAGGTTTGTGTGTTGCTCGACTTCCTGCTCGCAATTATGGGATTCCTGAGTGATTGACTGTCGGCTAAACACGGTAGTAATTTCTGTCCATCTGCGGGATGTGTGTGTGTGAGATCTATCCGTAGACTATATATAGAAAGTGAGGCGGGCTTCACACCCGATACCCAGGAAGTCCTCGGGGACTCTTTCCTTTCTTCTGAGCTCTGGTTGTGAGTAGACATTTAGAAAATAAAGTAGATGTGGGGTCATGAGTGGCAGGGGTTTACGTTGCTTTAAATGCCACTTAAGACTCTGACATTTGGCGTCGTGTGCAAAGACAGTTTTTAGCCAACTTTGAGAAATAATCTTTTCACCCAGTTTACATTCCTTCACTCTCAGCCTCCCCTCGGGGACATTACAAAGTGATAAACGCATCTACTGCTGCTCCCAGGCCATATTAGCATATCCTCCTTTCACTGAATCCCTTCAAATAACATTTCTGCTTTTCTTTCTGCTAATCTCTCACCTCCTTCCTTTTCCCCCCCCCATCAATCTCCCTCCTCTGTCACCCTCTCCCTCCGCCTCTTACAGCAATTCAAAGCAGACATGGCACATTGTTAAAACGTGCTTACGAGAGTAAGGAAAGGCAACAAATGTAGTAATGAAATGAACTCCAAACAATTACATCTCTTTCCTCTCTGTGCTTTCTCGTTCACTCTCCTCATCTTGGTTAATTTAGGGGACTTAATTGGCGTGATAATACTTCTGAGGAAAACAAACAACAACAAAATCTAAACGGATGTAATTACTTCCAACTGTTGACATTTTGCCTGTGTGTTTTTCTCGCAGCGTTTAACGTGCTCTTTAGTATTTGAATGTGGTTTTGGTGTCATTATTTGTGCGTTTATCAATGTGAAGTTATATTTTACAAACATTTAAAACAAGCTCTGAAGCGAGATGTTGTCTCCAAAAGAACTGCTCTCTCTTCTTTCAAGTGATTCCTCCGTAGAATAGAGAGTGAGCTGATTGCTGTATGGACTCTCGTCTCTTTGTATTTGTTTGTGTCAAGTTGCATCTAACAGTACAAACCCTTTGTGTAAAGAAGACGACAAATGAAAACCCTCTCCTCTGTTTATCCTCTCTCCAGACCAACATCCCGTTCCTGCAGAATGTGTTTTCCAACCACCAGTTCCTCAACTCCACCGTGGACACCCAGTTCATCGACGAGAACCAGGAGCTGTTCAACCTCAAACCCACTCAGAACCGGGCCCAGAAACTGCTGCACTACCTGGGTCAGTTCGTAAACGGCACACGCACTCGGATGCTGTCACGTAACACCTGTGTTTTCCTCATTGTCTCAACAGAATGCTCAGTGTGTAATATATGTTCTGCTTTTATCCCCCTCTTCAGGTCATGTGATGGTGAACGGACCAACCACACCCATTCCAGTCAAAGCTAAGCCTTCCTCCATAGACCCTGTCATCCCCCCTGTTACCTTGGGTATGTCAATTTAATGCAATTCAGCAAATCACCATGCATAATTCAAGGTCCGTCACGCCGTATTATGCAAACCGAGCTACAACTCCTGAGTCACATTGATGAGAAAAAGTGCACCAGTGCATTCAAAGCAGTTTGTGCAAAAAAGCTGTTTTAAAAGCCTTGTTTTCACCGTGTATATCTGTGTGTAGGACGAGGTGTCGGCCACTGATAGTTTAATATGGTGTTTAGATAGTGGCACAACAGGAAATGTTACCATGATAATACAACAATGCATCATCCTTTTTCAAATGCATTTATTACTTTTGGACTCATTTAGCAAGGTACCGCCAAAGCCAGGGGTTCAGAGTTTCATTTCCCCTCGGGCTACCATGCTAAAAAAAGTAAACACTTGTGGATCCGGAGGGCACTTTGGATAAAAGCACCCGCCGAATGACAAATGGGCTGTCGAGCCGTCCGATAGCTGAAGGCGGGAAAGGCCTTCCTAAATGGCTCAGTTTAGCACTCAGGGAGGAAAAGGGTTTTGGCCCAGAGTGCTCTGCTGAGCTGTGAGTACAGCGGAGAGAGGGAGCACTTCATTGTTTGTGAAGGCAGAAGTTGTTCTCACTCCGCTCTGCACCAGCACCCCCGCAGAGAAGGCCGGCAGCCAGGCCCGTCTCTGAGGGGTTCTGGATCTGAGCTATGCTGGGTTTCTTTTCTCCTAACCCTAACTTCAGAGTTAATGGGGGTCCCTGAAAGGCTTAACTAAGGCATGTACTACCACTTGCTTTCATTATCGAGTATACAGACCATTTTTTTCTAGATTGATCGTTTGATCAATACATTTGTGGTTTTTCCAAAGCTTAAAGATATTCCCAAAATATGATATAAAACAGATACAAGAAAGAAATCTCCATATTTGAGGGGCTGGAAGGGGCTTTCATGAAATGTTGAACAACAATAACTTTACCGTTTATCAAAATAGCTGATTTTTGTTGTTGATTGACCAATCGATAAGATAAGTGATGAGGATTGGATATGCTCCGTTTTACAAGTTTATACAGTACCAGTCAAAAGTTTTGAAACACCTTCTTATTCAAACACCTTATTATTCAATCTACATTGAAGATTCATACTGAAGACATCAAAACTATGAAAGAACAAATATGGAATTATGTAGTAAACAAAAAAAGTCTACCTTATGAAACTGATCGAGAGAGTGCAGAGCTGTCATCAAAGCAAAAGTGGGCTATTTTGAAGAATCTAAAATTAAAATCATATTCTGGTTTGTTTAATACTTTTTTGTACATAATGTGTCCTTTTATAATCTTGATGTTGTCAGTATTAATCTACAATGTAGAACATCATTTAAATAAATAAAATCGTTTGAATTAGGTGTGTCCAAACTTTTGACTGGTACTGTATGTGTTATATAAACTTACAAATGTGTATAAAGTTGTCTTTTTTTTCATTTGATGCCAGTTTTAGTGGCCGATTCACAATGATGCTTTCTTTAGTCGTTCTCCACCGTGCTCCAGTGTTAACGCTCGTTCGGGGTGCTAACTGCCTTGCATTTCTGCAGCTGCTCCCTTTGACAGCAACAAAACAGTCCGCTGTATCAATCTGACATGTTTATCAGCACCCTGTTCTGCCTCAGCACATACCCCAGCGTGCACAGCAAACACGAACCTAAAACAAAATAATGTGAATAATATGAATCCTAATCAGGCATCACTAATCGAATCTGACATCTAAAAACCGTGCACAGTGGAACGGGGTGGAGGAGAAAAGGGAAGAATGATCCGCCGTGTTTGCACGTCTCCGTGTGAGTTAGCGAGTCTCCGTGCTTCCCCTACACTTGTCTACTTATGCAAATCTAGTGTTGACACTGCCACCATCGCCCGCCCCTCTTATGCAGCGAACACACGTGCATTTACTCTGGAAGATCACACAGACTCGTACTGTACTATAGGCACACGTCCTCTGGTGTGCATGTCCCCACTTACCTACTGTAAGGAGCTGATGAAGTATGCGGCACAGAGGCATACCTAAAGCCTAGTAATGAGATTTGTAATGTGCTTATATCCTTTCTTTCATTCCACGGAGGGATTGAGAAGAGAGGGATTAGGCCTGTATTATCACACTCTGTGGAGGGAGGGACACAGGCGGGAAAGGGGTTATGAAAATAGAGGCAGCGTAATACATACATGTGGGGAAATGGTCATGAGGACATAGAGGAGAGGCAGGGGGACATGGATAGATGAGACAGAGATAGACAACATGATTGAGATACATTTATTGGGAAATAAGTTTATTGATTATCCTGGACAAAGTAATTGTGATTCAAGATATGCTCCTGATAATATAAACATGAATCATGAGGTCCCCCTCCATGAATAAATGAGAAATAATATAGCAACATTGTTATTTCTGTATTTCCTTTTTCACATGATCATTTCTGTAGGTTTTTAATTGATGGCGAGCTTTAAAGCTTGTTCAACTCACCCATGACGTAACTATGAAGGTAGATATGGTGGTGAATACATTCTCGTATGGTCCAATTAATTGATCTAAGGACTTTTGCTAAGGAGCGAAGATCAGAAAGTGTCAAAACATCACATACATATTAGGGGAAGGAGGAAGTTAATCTACTCTTGGGGAGTTCCCTCCACACTGAGGACAGAAGGGAGGAAGTGCTCCTGAAATGAAGGCCAATGGGGTCCTGACAGGACATGTGAAGTACTGAAAGGACATTATTTTCTAATTAGGGTTTGTATTGTAAAACGTTCCTGTGAAGGCTGATTGCTGGTGCCTCATTGATGGTGTCCAAGTACACCTTGTTCCAATTATTGTCTGGATTTATTTAATGGAGGACATCTAGAGGTTAATCACCAGATGCGTCTGAGCTAGCTTTAGGAATAATGACTAATACAAATGACAGACCGCTTTTGTCCACTTTGTGGCCTGCATTTCTATTCTTAGAATTAAAGTAGAAGGGTAGTTTGTAGTCAAATGTGCAAAATCTGTGCACAAACATACTTAATTTCTTTAATTAGTTTTCTGTTTTTATTCTTCTTTCTTCCCTGCCTAGAGTTTTTGATGCTTTCATTAGCCATCTTCAAACAGAAAGAGCTGTATTTGTTGTTTTGTTTAGCTCCAGAACTCATTTCCAGGTAGCTTAAAATGAGTCATAAAGAGTCTTAAATGTGGCTTTCTGAAACCTCAAGATACTCTGGGTGTGTGTTCGGCAAGGTAACTTATTTTTGTCTTTGTTCTTGAAACAGTTCCTCTCAGTTTGTGTGTTGCTCTCTTCCCATAGAACTTTGTGGAGGAAAACAAATTTCTTGAACAGTAATGCCACTCAAAGGTTTTCAGCAGGCTGGATTTGAGCAGTTATGGCGAATAGAAAACAGCTAAATTAACATTTAAGACTTGAAGAAGTAAGAAGACTTTTTTAAAAAAAAACGTTATTCTTCTGCTTTTAGTTTTAATGGAGCAGAAATGCACATAGGGATAAACAAAACATAAGTCCCATCAGTCTCAGTCCATGTAGTATTGTCTTAAAAGGGAATTGAAATGATAATTGTCTTATGACATTTAAATAGCAAATACACATACCCAGAATTTCATTAAGGAAACAGGATTTTAATATAGACATATGGAACAAAAGTTTGTATTTCTGCTGGTTAAAAAAAGGCATTTTCTTGACTCAAAGGAAAATATTTATTTTCCTACTATGCGTTAACCACATTCACAAATACTAAAATATTTGTCCAGTATTTTAAAAAAATATATAAAAATAAGCAGATGTATCACACAATTGGTAGACTCTAATTTATATTAATTGAACAAAATAAATACATGGACAAATCAAATAAATAATTGCAAAACCAAGTATTTATTTTCTAAATTCAGAATGATTAAACGTCTCTGTAGCTGACAATAGGCTACACGTATCTTACAGCTCATACTAACATCTAGCTGCCATGTACAGGTGTAATTTGATGAGCTGTTGCAGCACAACTGACTTTAATAAAGCACTGATTACATGTAGCAGCTCCACCAGGATCTGACAGTTAAAGGTTCTCAGGAGGCAGGCTGTTATCACAAATAAAGGAGTATCTGTGAGAAGTCGCTCTATCTACTACTATAAACTGATTCTGTGAAGCTATAGGAGGAGGAGAGAGGGAACAGAGGAGCAGACAGATCTGGGATAAGGAGGAGAGTGAAAGAAGCGTGAGTGGGAGTAACGTGTTTTCAATGCTAGGGAAAGTGTTTGTGTGTAAATGGGTCAATTATCATATACATCACCCATGGGACTTTCATGTCTCTAGCGCTCTCTGTTTCTGCATGTATGATATGACACGCACATTAATCCACTCACACTACCTTCCTATAGGAAACTTTCACTGTGCTGCTATATATTCAGTGTTGTCCCACTACAGATGCCCTCGTGTCCTCGATGTGTCAAACATAGAAAGCAACTTTGTAAGACTGCGAGACAAATTGTGAAAGACTTTAAGTGTAAATCATTTTTCTGTGTGGGTGTGTTTCCCACGCCGCCGTATTATACACAGATCTTGATAAGTTCAAAGTGTCCGTATCTATTTGCTGCAGCGATGAGATGTGTGTGTGTGTGTGTGTGTGTGTGTGTGTGTGTGTGGATTTCATTCTGCTCAGACCAGCCTTAGAGAAAATGATGGCAGAGATCATTTGTTTTCAGGGATGAAGTACAACAATAAAAGGTCAAGAGCGAATATTGAGAGAGAGGGAGGGAAAGGCCGTGAGTGGAGGACAACTAAGCGGGCAGATAGTACCTCATTAACTAGTCTAATTGATTGATGATCGCGCACACAAGGGCAAAAATAGATCCCAATTTGACTTCCAATATGTGAATGCCTCTGGTTGTGCTTGTGTTTAATTGCCAGGCATGGAGAGGAGGGAGCAGGGTGAGAACAGAAGGTCTCTGTATTGTTTAATTTGTTTGTTTTAAGGACTATTTAGCTTTTATAAACTGGAAACATAAGCATGTGTCTTGGGGATTGCGCAGCAGTTGTTTCCATTCCTCCTCGTTCAGGCTTTTAGCGTTGACAGTCCATGTTAATTCTAACTGTATGTGACATAACAGTGTTAGTATGCTAACCAGAAACACTTATTTAATGGCAGCATGTCCGACAGGGTTCATCCTGGGTTCCTAATGGGGGCATACAGCAAGGTTTCTGGAACATTCTTAATGGATATACATGTAATTTTTCTCTTGTGTATCTGCCAGATGCAGGTCATTGTCATTGCCGTACTAGCATGCTACATCACTACGGTCAAGACTGAAATAACTCTAAGATAGAGAGTTATGAGATTCTGTAGCAACATTCATGGTCTTCATTGGATAAACCCCACTGAGTTTGGTGACATGTTATCTAGCCCTTCTAAGAAATACACATTTCCATTTAAACTGTTAAATATCTTAATATTAATTGGAAGGATTGGAACTATTTTTTTTAAATATATATTTATTGTCCCCAGGGGATGAACCATACCAGGTTTTCAAGAAATTTGATTTAGCCAGGAGTTTGACATTTCTATCTGGCAATTAAAATATCATGTCAAAAAACTGGATTGGCACTATTTTTTGGTGAGACATGTATGGTCTGCAGAGGAGGAATCCTATTACTTTTGTGATACATGACATTTCCTTTTTGGGAAATCCTGAGTTTTTCATTTGTGGTTTAGGGTAAAATATGTACAATGTCGCATGAGATTAATCCTTATGACTTTGGCAAATCAATATCAAAGAAAACAGGCTGAAATGGGTACAAATATATATTTTTAGTGTATTTTCTTTTTTTGCATGATGGGGAATTGTGGGATCTAAAAACAGAGTGACAGGATGGAAAAGTCTGAAATAAATTGAGATTTGTGAGAATTGAAATAGTTGCCATCCTGGAACAGATCGCCTTCAGGTGGCGACTGTACAGTCCCTTGTTGTACACCAGGTGCTGCTTACTTTTTGTAGCTGATCATGACGATAAGTGTCAGCCGGCGAAAGACATTTTTACAAATCGGTGGGTGATGTGTTTAATAATCCGGCTGCAGGGCTTATTCTTCTGTATTAGTGAAGGCCCTGTCCACGTCATTAGTGGGAGTTATGAAGAGTGCTGGACTTGTTCACAGCACGACTTGAGAGGGAACTCAGTGTCAATAACATCAGTTTACCTATGGAGGGGTGCTTGTTACAGTATGGTAGTGTTTATCTTGCCCGGCACTATGCAGGGTCTGAAGTCTGAGAGCCCATAAACTGGAGAAATAAAGGGTTTCTTGATATGTCCAGTTTTGCAAAGTCCAAGGCCATATCAATTCACTTTATTATAATTAAATAGAGAAAAAGAACAACTTCTTAATTTGTTGTGATATACTTATGTTACAGCATCTATTTATATATCTATTTTCAGTTATAAATGCACTCTTTATTATCCGTTTCTGCACAGCCTGGTAGTTTGGTGTTTTTAAAAAGTATTTCCCTATGATCTGATGTGGATTACTCACACACCACAAAACTATTTCCCTTTTGATTTCGGACTCTCTTTTTACCCCCACATTAATCTTCTTATCCATATTTTTCTCCCTCCTCCCCATCAGGAGACCCTCCGCTGGGTTTCCGCGACGTGTTGCTGCGTGACGGTCCGGAGGGATTCGCCAAGGCTGTCCGTGCCCACCAGGGTCTGTTGCTAATGGATACCACCTTCAGGGATGCCCACCAGTCGCTCCTGGCAACAAGGGTTCGGACCCACGACCTGAAGAAGATCTCGCCGTTTGTCAGCCACAACTTCAACAACCTCTACAGCCTGGAGAACTGGGGAGGTGAGTCTCTGGGTCCTGACTATTGGGAATGTTTTCATCACCATAAAATACAACCGGAAAATCATCAGCATCAAAATCAAAATCAGAAATCCTTTATTAGTCCCACAGCGGGGAAATGTACATCAGTCAGGTTGTGAATCAATGCAAGGAATTTGCTTTGGTGTGTAAACAAAATAACAGGAATTAAGTTGTACAAATAATATCGAAGTCTTTTTAAAGCCATTTTAAAAACTAATATCCAATTTTAAAATGAATAAAATATAAATTTGAAAATAAAAATAAGTAAACAAAGCTAAAATCAATGTGTTCTATTACTCAAGTAATATGCAGCATATCAGAATTGAAAGTATCAGAGCTATAAATATAGCAATTGAACAGAAATGAGCAAAATATACAGGAGAATGTGCCTTTACAGTATAGAATATGAGGAATAGCTCTCATGATGTGCAATAATATTCTATACTTCAGTTTTTGTAAGGATGAATTAGCCAATGAAGAGCTAGGCTAGCACCCTTACCCTGCTTCCACTCTCAATGCTAAGATAACTAAGCGTGTCCTTTCTCCAGCTTTATTTTCTAACTTACAGACCATAGCAGTGTTCATTTTGGCAGATATTTTTGATTTAGTCTTTAGACGAAAATGGTTATTAGTTTTAGTCACATTTTAGTCATTTCTATCCTTCATAGTTTTAGTCTAGTTTTAGTCGACGAAAACTCAAAACGTTTTAGTCTAGTTTTAGTCGACGAAAACTCAAAACGTTTTAGTCAACCTTTAGTCGATGAAAAATTACATTTTAGTCAAAATGTTTTCTCTCTTTAAACTAATTCAGTTAGGCAAATACAGGTATCTGAAATTGGAATCGATGTGACAGCATCAAGTGTTGAAATTCATAAAGAAACATTTCACTCTCTTAACACTTTACTTGTGTAATATCTAGGGATGGGTATCGCTAAGGTTTGTTACGGTACTACTACTCTTATCGATACTGCTTATCGATCCGGTACTTTAACGGTATTCTTGTAGGTACTTTTTGTTATTTTTTAAAGGGAAAAACTAAACAAATTGTTAACCAAATTAACATACTGTACTTGAGTAAAATGTTGAGATACTTTACTGGAGTATTTAAATGTGTTGCTACTTTGTTCTTCTACTCCACTACAGTTCAGAGGTAAATGATGTACTTTTACTCCAATACATTTATTTAATACCTTTAGTTACTTTACAGATGTGGATGAATGATGTGAAATATAATCAAGTGTTAAATCAGACTTTAGTTCCACCTGGAGTAAATCCACAAGCTACCCTGCAGTATACAAAGTCATTCAAACTAGCTGCACCTTTACCAGCTTTGAGAACACTTTCATGATCAATCATTATAAAACATATCATATTATTCTGAAGTGGACCAATCTGCACAATGACTACTTTCACTGTCGCTACTTTAACTATATTTTGATGATAATACTTTTCTACTTTTACATTTTGAATGCAGGACTTTTACTGTAACAGAGTATTCCTACAGTATGGTATTTTTTTACTTAACTACAAGATCTTATTTTTTTTGCAACCAAAGGAATCTGTTAATGCCGGTCATTAGAAAGAACACGGATATAAGACACCTCTGCATTGACTTTATTTAAACCTCTTGGTACAGACATGACTGGTATCAGACTTACCATTTGGCACTCTAAAGAGCCATTACACCTGAGGAAATACCCATAATGTGTGATCACATACATATCAGTCACGTAAGATTTGCATTCATTTCCCTCTTCAGATAGTTATCATGTTAATTAATCTCTTTGTGTATGCACTCCTGCTTTTTAATGCGTCTGAAGACATGCCTGCTCTCTCCATTCTCTCTCCACTCTCACCGTAGATCTTCTCGTGATTGTGCCTCTTTGTTTTTCTAGTTTGAGCTGTGGAAATCATGCGCCATTTAAATGATATCTCGTCCTCCCATCTTCATCGTCTCCAGCAAGTTCCCTCAATAGACAATGATTGTAGCCTCTTCATGGTCGTGAATGAATAGAGAAAATCATGCATTATTGAAACCTCTTGAGTCCAATAGTGTCCCTGGATAATATGCAATTACTGTGAAATTGGCCAGAGAACAAAAACTACTTGTCTTACAGTATGTTTGAACAGTCTGCAATTATCAACACTTCTTGATAGCTGTCCTGTGTGAAGAACAATTGTTGTGAACCGGTTTCAAATAATAAATTCCTGTTTGAACACTTAGGACACACACATTTGTGGAAGAGATATGCCCAGCGAACCTCTTGAGGTTGAAACGTTTAATTTAATGCGCAATTATGGTAAACCACATGGAGTGATCGTGCTTAAATTACTTGGAGTGCTTTAGTCAGATCACAAGAACAAACATGAGAACCAAACAACAAAAGCCTGGAGTAAAAAGGCTTTCCGTTTTTAAGTTGCTGTGCATTTGTTAGATGGTTGAGCAAAGTGAGGAGAAAATAAAAATGCGAGGAGAGAGACTGCCCAGTAAAACCTCAGCTCTGTAAACGCTTCACTCAGATTGAATTCCTCCCAGTAGCCGGTCATGGTGCACCAGTTCAAGGAAAACAATATATTCCATTACTGTGGGAGAGCACTTTGAGCATATTAAGCAACTGTCTACTCATCTCATGTTTGAACAGATTGAAAGGTTATAGCGAAAGTAAAACATCCAGGAGATATTTGGATAGAAAGGGCTCAAAGGCATCCCAGTATATCGTGATGTTATTACGAGACTGACCAGGGAAGGATGGTATTAATTCAGCTTAGCCGTGTTTGAGCAGTTACATTAAAAGTAAATCTTTGAAGAGAGACTGTGATAACTGGCAGTGAACTCAGTTCATCACTCTGGAGGGAAATCGTTGAATAGTTGCCAGAACAGCTCCTTGTCTCATTATACCGTGAGCCTGTTCTCAAAGTGCTTTGATTAAGGGACATAAATGCTTTTTTTAACATGTCATTAGCTTATATTTAAAAGCATTAAACCTCTCGCCCACATTAAAATGTTGTTTACCATCATTCATAATCTCGCAGTGACACAACCTCACTTTACCTCTGAGGATCTTAGCACTCTCTGGGTTTAAACACAGTCAAATGGGGCTTTCAGGAGCTGTGGTAAATCTTCTTTTTGGGAAACGGGAAGCTCACAGACATGTCTATATGTTTTACTGATGAAAGAGCACAAACTGAGCTCTCTATTAGGTTTTCTTGAATATTCCTCTGGGGCCTCATCTGTGTGAGAAACAGGAAGCTGTGCAAAACAGTCAATACAAGCTGACGGAAAGCATGCTTTGGGAGCATTTTATGGCTGAGCATTCAATATGTTAATTTACTAGGAGCTTCCTGTTTTCACCACTGAGGCTTCACATGTTTTTTGAAAGCCTTAACCATTTACCCATTGAACTGCAGTTGGGTAAGATTTCCAAAACTATGATTGGGGTTGTATTATTGTTGAAATGATGGTTATAAGATACATTTATTATGGGAAAAACAGTGTCCTTTTAAACGATTTACAGTAATTGAATGTTATTTTCTTTACAACGTGTAATTATTTCGAACTGAGCAGACGATGTGTTAAACATTCATCATTTGAGCATCTGCTGCAGTACAAGCTCAAAGCGATCACAGAATAATCTGGCCTCTGAATTGAATCCAGTCATGATGAAACGTCAAGAGAAAGGTGAATACATCTTCCTTTGTGTCTTCCTCATAAAGCGCCGCTGCTGTTTGAGTTGCAGTGGGAGATGACTTTTGAAATCTTCTGTGGATGAAAGCTCTTGAAGTTTAAACAGTGTTTTGTGTTCATGAAACATCCAGACAAAGTGAATATGCTCGACTCTGCCAATTATAGCACCACAGCAACAGTCCATCATTGAAATCAAATGTAAAACAGAAACCCTTAAACACCCTGACATAATGATTCTGTAACGGCTGATGTTATGAGCTGAGCAGCGTCACGTTGTCTCTTTCAGTTTAGAGAAGCTCCACTGAATCCTCCAAGAGGAATGTAATGTGCTCGTGGATCCTCTTGAGGCGTCAGTAGTTCCTGCATGATATGATTATGAGTCAGAGGAAAAACAAAATAGTTTCTCATAATTTAAACATTTTAAGGCTGATTAAATTATAGAAATCCTCTCTGAATCCTTCCTGTGACTCTACTATTTTACAGGGTAATAGCATGCTTTGTGATTCTAATTATATTTCGATGTTAGGCCCCGGCCCCACGGGAACGCATACGGCAAAACGCATAGGATTAACGCAAACGCAATCGCCAAAAAGCTTCCGTCCACACGCAATATACACCGGATAGTGTCTTCCCACACGAGACAGCTCCGTTTAGATCCAATGGAAAAGCTGCAGTACATATGCCGAACCTGTACGTGGCGCTGTAACTTCCTCCACAAAAGCAGCAACTTCCTCCACAAAAGCAGCGAAGAAGAATGGTTGTCATGGCTGCACTTCTGTTTATTCTCCGCGGTGGGGGCCGAGGGAACCGGGCAGAGTTTTTCACCGGTCAACGTGTGTTAAAGTTTAAATCTTCCGGACAAAATTATAAAAGTGCCGGTCAAAGGTCTTCTTTGTTATTTATTGAGCTTTAAAACAAATGAATAACGACGATATAATGATATATAATAATAAAATACACGGAGGTTGTCTCTTTTTCCTCTCTTCTGACAGCGTCAGTGTCTGTCTCATGCAGCAGCTGATCCAGTAATGAGTGACCCGACAGTAAAAATGAACATATTTATAACTAGTTTAGGTAGTTTGAGAGGTAATTAAAATAGCTAAGGGTGATGATCTGACTTGAAGTGTGTGTTTTGCTCCCGCTGCATCACAGCGGCAGGAGCTGCGTGTCTCCGTCCTGTCAGATTAGACTTCACTCGCGTTTATGTCCATATCGAGATAAAGATAAATAATCTGAATTCAGTGTGCAGTGTACTTTTGCGGGGGTGAGCAGCAGAGGCGGGGAGAGGCGGGGCTATTGCGTCGTCATTACCAGAAAATGATGACCGTATAGGCTACCACACGGCCCCGTTGGACCCCCCAGAGCTCTCCGTTCCCAGATCTATCCACCTTTGGACCCGTTGTCGTTTGCAGGGTCCATTTCTATCGTTCCGTTACGGCGTCGTGTAGCTTAAAGGGCTATACGCAAGAGAAATATGCGGGGCCGGGGCCTTAGTTTGACTAGTTAAGTAGGAACAACACATTTACAAATGATAATTAGCATAAAAGCAAAAAGAACAGAAATCACCTTTCCTCATGAGATTAACAGTGCATTTCAATTGGTTGTTTATGCCTTTCTTACACACATCAATAGTTTGTTCATACTCATCCCCTAAAACATATTTTTCAAGACCAAAATAGGAATTCATCTGCTTAAGCTTTGTCGCAGAGCATGACCTATGCCCTTTCTGCAGTGGGATTAAAGTCAAATCAAATATTTTACTATAATGCATTTTCAATAGAGAAGAATGACTTCCCAAGTAGAGAAATGGAGAATCCGAGGAGCACATGAATGCACCATTAGCCTTGGCGCTCTGTGACTGCCAGTCTAGCTTCTCCTTGTTTCATATGCTGCCTTCTGTCTCTTCTATCTTCCTCTTATTCTTCCCCCTCTGAAAGCCCAATCAAAGCCTCATCATTTGTTATTCCTCAGAGTTTATAAGGCTCCTCCAGGGTCCCACAAGGCATGATAAGACTTGAGGAGTAGACATGTTGTGTAAAAAGGTCCTCTGTTAATAATAGAATGCTATAATCTTTGATGTCAGTGTGTAAATATCAGACCGTTTGTTTCCCATCCCCTCTGTTAATCATCCTTCTTTCGCTCGGCTTTCAATACCCAAAATTCCCAGGTTCACTAGTATCAGCCGCGCTCTCGCCTCATATTGATTTAGTTTGTGAAACACAAATTAGACCAGCGCTGCACTAAAGACTCCAGCTCCTGCATGCACTCTCCCACAAGGACAGCTTGTAATTGCACATCACTAAATGGCCATAGGAGGAATAACTACCAAGTATACAATTCACTTTTATTACAGAGAATATTATACTGCTTGAATCACTCAGAACCACGATAAATCACTGAAGGGAGATGCCCTTGTGAGTAATGAACGCTGTGCACCTGACACACTGTCCCCTATGCAAAATGGGAACATTGTATTGCTTTCACATGTTTCAGAGGCTGAATGAATCAAAAAGAGATTAAGTCCTGTGAAAGCCCTTTGAGGATTAAGACCCTTCCTCATATAGCGTTCCTCCAAACACCATCAAGATACAATTATATGAATTGGGTCACATAATGTATCTATATGGTTCTTCAAATGTATTTCCACAGTCGGCTAAGTTATCTAATGGTAAAGCTGGAGTTTTAATTATTGTACATTTAGCCCGCAAGAATCCTCTGCATGTTTCGAGTCGAGGCAAGTTTATTCAAATACAGTAGCCCATTTCAACACAAGGCAATTTGAACCAAATACTTTCAAAGATATAGTACATCAAAAATACAATACTAAAGTACATTTCAAAACAGTCATTTGAAAGCCAAGACAACACAAATAAAGCAAGGTGAAATAGACAAAAAACAGTGAAAATACATGAATCGTAACTGAACGCTGCTTCTCCATGTTTATTTTTGACTCGAGGGACCCTGATGGTTTAATGTAGCAGAAGATCAGATATGTATTTTGGAACAAACCATTCAGTGCTTTAAAAAACCTGTTGTAATATTTTGAAGTCAATTTTTAGGACAAGAAAGCCTCAAGTAAAGCCTTGAAAACTGGAGCGATGTGATCCACTTGATTTCGGTGCTTCCTTTTAAGGACTGGAGCTGTTTCCTCGGTGCAGGCAGTGGACACACGCATTACAGCCTGACCAGCAGCGGCAGCAAATCAAAGCTCCAGAGTGATTAAGTGGGATCACAGAGACATAAACATTGATCTGACAGGATAAACTGTCTGATGCATCAGGGCCATAATTGCACACTTAAGCAAAAATGCTGATAACGGCAGAGGTGTGTGTGTGAGAATGACTCAACTTGAAGCATTCATCTTTTAATATTCATCATAGGCTTTGCTTTATTGGCTCAAGAGCATGCTATAGAAGTTTATCTTATAAAACCTAATTTCCCACCAGGGGAAATTTGTATGGAGTAAAGAGTCAATATACTGTAAGGTGGTATCAGTACTGTATACCTTACACACATACAGAAAATGTTATAGGCTCATATATTCCTACACCTTTTATGATTGAAACATTACATGTGGTACTATATATGATGGTGGGCATTGCATACCAGACTTGTTATCATCTTTCTCCCTGATTTAATTTCATCTCTTCTTCATGACAGATTGTATGCTGCCTTTCTTTCCAAAAAGGACAGCAGTGCTCGGCTTAATGTTCTGCCAGCTGCCACTCTTCATCCCTGTTATCAAATTATTGGTCTGCGGGCCCAGATGAATGCCTCAATCAGCGTCCTGTTTTGATACTTCACATGCTAAAATACGTTAATACTAATGTGTTTAACATCAGATTCATTTCAGCTCCTAGCTAGCTGTTTATGAGACGCTGAGGTCGGCTGAAATCCAAGTCAGGGGGAGTATAAAAAATAAAAATTGATAAGGAGGGTTTCCAGGGGTTCCTGCTCCTCCAGAGTCGGGAACACACAGTTGTGCTTAGTATTCTGTCCAAATGTACGAGTGCTCTGAAAATGAAATTTAATGATGACAGTGTTGGATCAGCAGAAAACCACTGGAGGCTTCAATATTTCTGGCTGATATGATAAACGGGTATGAGATTTACTAATCTACTCCCCCAAGAAAGGGAAATGAGAGATTGCTATCTCTTTTTTTCGCCTCGCCCTCTGAAACATTTCTTCGATTCTAAAGTGACTTCAGAGTAAAATGATGAAAGTGTTAGGATGAACAATGAATGTGCGTGTATCATCAGATATTTAATTCCAGCCTCTATTAGTGTGTTATATTTGTGAAATATGAGTTTTTGTGTCTTAAGTTTAGATCAAAGTTGGGATGAGACTATATATACTATAGGTATACTATACTAAATAAAGTGCAATCCCTCTCTCTCTGTGTGTGTGTGTGTGTGTGTAGGTGCCACATTTGACGTGGCCATGCGTTTCCTGTCAGAGTGCCCGTGGAAGAGGCTCCAGGAGCTTAGAGCTCTGATCCCAAACATCCCCTTCCAGATGCTGCTGAGAGGAGCCAACGCTGTGGGCTACACCAACTACCCCGACAACGCTGTCTTTAAGTGAGTCACACACACTCACTCACACACACACTGAGGCCCAATTCCAAACAGACTGTGTGACCGAGTGTGTATTCTCACTCTCAGCTGAATGAGGCTCCGTTAATGTGTAAGGTGAATGCAGCGGCAAACTTCCGGATGAACTTTCCTCTCACCGGCAGAAACAGGAAGTGTCGTGACTTCCTGTAACCATGGTATAGAATGAGCTTCTCAAGGCAAACAATTATAAATTATTATTATTATTTTAAAACTTCCTGTTGGAGGTTTGATATCTTCCTGTTGGAGGGTTTGATAACTTCCTGTTGGAGATTTGAATAACTAGCATACCCCACTAGTTTGTTTGGAACGGCACTTAATGTGGCGTACCTTCAACACAAACGGAGTGGAAGTGGAGAGGGGAAGGGTGTGTAAGTTTGGGATTGGGACACAGACTATACCCAACATTAACCCTTGTGCCCTCCTCGGGCATTTTTGTACATTTTTCCTGACTTTTTTTTTTGATTTGGTGTTCATTTCAGCTGTTACAGCTTTTGGCATGGATTTTTGCAAGAAGTCTTCTTTTGAGTCAAATTTTTGAAATCCAATGTCGTTTACTCTTACATGTTTTGTATACTCTCGTGATGCATTTTGCACCCTCTGGACCCCTTCGTGGCAAAAATGTACACGCTCATAGAAACTGCTATTAAATCATCATACATCAATATTTTATTAAACTTTTTTTTCCATGAATCACTTGAACAACTTCTAACGTGCTCAAAACTACCAAACATCCAATAATTTTCAGGATTTTAACCCTTTAAATGCCTGTTTCATTATTTGAATTATTTAATTTCTCTTATAATATATATAATATAATATAATAATTAGTAGAGGGACGGAACTTTGGTGGTTATTAGAGTCTGGGATGTGTCAAAGATTAGCAACAAAATTGATTTGACTGCATTATTAATTTTTACGTAGTGTCAGATACTACCTCTGGACACCTTCGTGGCAAAAATGTACACGCCCAAAACAACTGCTATTAAATCATCATACATCAATATCTTTTTCTACTTTTTTTTCATGAATCACATATACAACTTCTCACGTACTCCAAACTACCAAACATTCAATCATTGGCAGGATTTTAACCCTTTAAATGCCTGTTTAATTATTTTAATTATTTCATTTCTCTCAAAAATGCCTCATTGACTTCCATTCAGACCACATTTGTTGATCTCACTGCCATTGCAGTATAAAACCATGCATTTTGTAATGTCAGCATTTCATTTAGAAGAAAAGTAGTGATATTTGATATTTCTACTCTATTCCAACAGATTACACAAGTTTCCGTGTAGGCCGATGCATTACATTCTTACATTTTTGCCAGTTATATTATGGAGCCGTGTGACTACCAGGGGGCCCCGAGAGTGGTGTGTGTGTGTGTGTGTGTATGTATGTATGTGTGTGTGTGTGTGTGCGTGTGTGTGTGTGTGTGTGTGTGTGTATATGTATGTGCGTGTGTGTGTGTGTATATGTGCGTGTGTTTGTGTGTGTGTGTGTGTGTGTCATTTCCAGCAGCAGACTAGCAGGTCCTGCAGCATGTGACCTGGTGCTCTCAGGTGATAGAACAACAATTTTTTAGGCCTGTGCACAACCAGCACACACGTCTCCTCCCTCTCCGTGTGTGTGTGTGTGAGAATCTGTAAGCATGCACAGATCATTTCATGGGAAAAAAAGGCCATCTTTTGAGGGATGTGTTTGATGTGTCTTTGAAGAGCTGCTTGATTACTCAAAAACAAAAAACAACTGTTAGTGTGTTTATGCACCTGGCTGCCAAAGATAAAAATGCAGTTTGACCAAGGGCTTATTTCATTAGTGAGCAGAGAAGGAGAAAGACCTGGAGCAAAGAGAAGGAACTCAAATGAAGAAGCTTTTCAGTGCTGAAGAGACTTCAGAAATAATCTTGCAGCCTTCTTCTGCCAGCGAGCTGCAGCACTCATCTGAAGAAGACACAAGGTTCGAGCTGGGGTCTGACACTGAATGCTCTCTGGAGTCCAGCATTTCTTTGAGTTCCTCTGACCCTTCATCTGAAAGTGGAGAGGACACTGAGGGTCCGGCCCACCATCCACCACCACGGGGGGCTTTCTTCTCACAATCTGTGAGGACACCCTGGTTTTCCCCAGCTCCTGGGAGAACGACCTCCGTTCTTCTCTGTCCCCTCACTGTGGGCCGGACCCTCAGTGTCCTCTCCACTTTCAGATGAAGGGTCAGAGGAACTCAAAGAAATGCTGGACTCCAGAGAGCATTCAGTGTCAGACCCCAGCTCGAACCTTGTGTCTTCTTCAGATGAGTCCTGCAGCTCGCTGGCAGAAGAAGGCTGCAAGATTATTTCTGAAGTCTCCTCTGCACTGAAAAGCTTCTTCATTTGAGTTCCTTCTCTTTGCTCCAGGTCTTTCTCCTTCTCTGCTCACTAATGAAATAAGCCCTTGGTCAAACTGCATGTTTATCTTTGGCAGCCAGGTGCATAAACAGACTAACATTTGTTTTTTGTTTTTGAGTAATCAAGCAGCTCTTCAAAGACACATCAAACACATCCCTCAAAAGATGGCCTTTTGTTCCCATGAAATGATCTGTGCATGCTTACAGATTCTCACACACACACGGAGAGGGAGGAGAGGTGTGTGCTGGTTGTGCACAGGCCTAAAAAAATGTTGTTCTATCACCTGAGAGCACCAGGTCACATGCTGCAGGACCTGCTAGTCTGCTGCTGGAAATGACACACACACACACACACGCACATATACACACGCACACGCATACATATACATACACACACACACACACACACACACACACACACACCACTCTCGGGGCCCCCTGGTAGTCACACGGCTCCATAATATAACTGGCAAAAATGTAAGAATGTAATGCATCGGCCTACAGTGGGAAAATGGTTTAATCTGTTGGAATAGAGTAGAAATATCAAATATCACTACTTTTCTTCTAAATGAAATGCTGACATTACAAATGCATGGTTTTATACTGCAATGGCAATGAGATCAACAAATGTGGTCTGAATGGAAGTCAATGAGGCATTTTTGAGATAAATGAAATAATGAAAATAATGAAACAGGCGTTTAATGGGTTAAAATCGAAACTGTAAATGGTAGTTTTGAGTACGTTAGAAGTTGTTTATGTGATTCATGAAAAAAAAGTAGAAAAAGATATTGATGTATGATGATTTAATAGAAGTTATTATGGGCGTGTACATTTTTGCCACGAAGGTGTCCAGAGGTAGTATCTGATACTACGTAAAAAATAATAATGCAGTCAAATCAATTTTGTTGCTAATCTTTGACACATCCCAGACTCTAATAACCACCAAAGTTCCGTCCCTCTACTAATTATTATATTGAAAAAAATTCATTTTTTGTGTTTTTTGTCATAAATAATGAAATAATTCAAATAATTAAACAGGCATTTAAAGGGTTACAATCCTGAAAATTATTGAATGTTTGCTAGTTTTGAGTACGTTATAAGTTGTTTAAGTGATTCATGAAAAAAAAAGTAGAAAGAAATGTTGATGTATGATGATTTAATAGCAGTTATTATGGGCGTGTACATTTTTGCCACGAAGGGGTCCAAAGGTAGTATCTGACACTACGTATAAAATAATAATGCAGTGAAATCAATTTTGTTGCTAATCTTTGACACATCCAAGACTCTAGTAACCACCAAAGTTCCATCCCTCTACTAATTATTATATTGAAAAATAATTATGTTTTGTGTTTTTTCGTAAGAAAAAATGAAATAATTCAAATAATTAAACAGACATTTAAAGGGTTAAAATCCTGCCAATGATTGAATGTTTGGTAGTTTTGAATACGTTAGAAGTTGTATATGTGATTCATGAAAAAAAAAGTAGAAAAAGATATTGATGTATGATGATTTAATAGCAGTTATTATGGGCGTGTACATTTTTGCCACGAAGGTGTCCAGAGGTAGTATCTGATACTACGTAAAAAATAATAATGCAGTCAAATCAATTTTGTTGCTAATCTTTGACACATCCAAGACTCTAATAACCACCAAAGTTCCATCCCTCTACTAATTATTATATTGAAAAAAATTCATTTTTTGTGTTTTTTGTCATAAATAATGAAATAATTCAAATAATTAAACAGGCATTTAAAGGGTTAAAATCCAGAGAATTATTGAATGTTTGGTAGTTTTGAGTACGTTATAAGTTGTTTAAGTGATTCATGAAAAAAAAAGTAGAAAGAAATGTTGATGTATGATGATTTAGTAGCAGTTATTATGGGCGTGTACATTTTTGCCACGAAGGGGTCGAAAGGTTGAAAATTCGAGGAGGGCACAAGGGTTAAGAACAAATAATTTGGTTATTCAACACTCATGACATCAAGAGTCTTATTTGCAAGAATTATTTTGCATTTGCTTCGAAAATCAATGTTCTATGTCCACTAATGCTACAGAAATTAACACACAGAGCACTGTTGTACATTTCGGTGGATACACACTAAGCTTAACATACATTTTTTTATAAATGCACTGAATAATATAATTGTAAGTGTTTTGTTCAGTATTTGGAACACAGTCGAGATGAAAGCAGATCCTTCATATCTCTAGAGCAACTTTGTCATTTTCCTATTTAACTCTTTTTAATGTTTTGAAAACATTTGTATTCAATTGTCAGAAAGATTTTCTGGAAACCAGCTGCGCTCCCCCTGCGTTATTGTCTGTCACTGTCATATTATTTATCGACTTCATACATATTTCATTTTGTTTGTGAAAAGAAAATTGAAAGTGAAAATAATTGCCATCTGGGAATAATTACACGAACAATTCATCAAAACAATAGAAAAACAATTAACCCAACAGAACACCGTAATTAACAATACACCAACAATCCAAACGCGTATGATTTGCTACAAACTGTCTGCTCACAAGAACAAAGTAATACAAATAAAGCAAGTATGGTAAAAATTAAGCGACACATATACCAGAAGAAACATGCAATAAAAACATGTTTGTTAATTAAGGAAAAACTGTTATCTGAAGGTAATATGTGATTTAAGCCAGGAGAAGTGGTGGCTATAATAGACTTTCCTTCATACAGGTTTCCTCTCGTATATAAATGTGTGGGTATGGATTTAACGTCAATATCATGATTACACGATTGTATTGGCTGTTGGTGGCTCGAGGGTGATGTAAGCACTTAGGGGATGGACACATGTGGTGCAGGATGCTTCAATCAATCAATCATCCAATTGTCACCTTGTAAATAAAAACCTTTCTATTTCCTTTCAAGTCATTTAACCTATACTGAAAACATTTCTCTCTATAATATTAAAGGGACACAGCTGCTTTGTTGTTAAATATGAAAATAATCTGTACAATAGCTACCCACTAACACACACATTAGTCAGGTGAACATGGTGGATGTTTGGCTGTTTCCTCCTCTCATGCGCAGTGACTTCCACACACCACTGATGCAGATGTCTACCAGTAATGTCTTTAGAGCCATAAACACTTCCTGTGCCTACACACATGCACACACACACACACACGCCTCTAACACTTTTCCAAATGGATTCACTAGCTACCTCCATGATGTGGATGACTCATATAGACACACACACACACACACACACACACACACACACACACACACACACACACCCCTGCATGCAGCTCCACACAGACAAGGACACACACACAGCCCTGCATGCAAGGTGCAATTCCCCTCACCTGAAATAAATTAGGAGTAGCTTTATGACTAATGCAGCTGTCCCCTCCCCACTCCTTCACATTGAAACACACACACACTTTTTATTCTCCCCCTCTCCTATCACATTATTTATCCCCACTGTTATAAGTTCCTTTTTATGCCTCCATTCATCTCTGTATAACACACTTCTTTCCCTCTTTTAACTCCCTCTCTGTACCCCGACTGCTCTTCATCTCTCTCTCTCTCCCCCCCCTCACTCTCAGTGTCCCGTAGGGGCAGTGCCATGGAAAATTTGCACATGATTGTGATTAATGGTTTTGATCTGTTGGCCCGGCTCTCTCTCCACCTCCTCTCTTTTATCTGTGGCTTTCTCACCCGCGACGCTCGCAGCGCAGCGGCCCGCGGCCAAGTAGCCCGAGTCAGTGTCTTCATTAACTAAATCAAGTTAACGTGTAATTTCATTTCATATAATTGATTTAAAGTGCATGACACAGGGTTACAGTACACTCCGCAGCAAGAAGAACATTTCTTTGAACATCCAAAATGGCTGTTTGATCGCCAACTAGATATTATTTTTAGAAAATATCAACTAGCTAATACACAGGTGGTATGAGTACTCTTATCTTTAGTTCATTACAAGCGCTCCTCCTAAATGGTAGCTATTCATACTTATAGGTAGTTAGAGAAATATACAGAATTATATTTTGTATTATGAATTGGAATCTTCCAAGTAATTACAAGTTACAAATAAATGAGTAAAATAGTAATTGCCTTTGAGAGCTACTGGAGTAGAAGTTTAATGTAGTAGGAAATGGAAGCAGTGACGTACAAGTACCTGAAAGTTGTATTTAAGTACCACACAACAGTAAATTACCTTAGATACTGTCTGTCTGCTGCTACACATGATTCACATAATGATTTTGTCAGCGCTGAGTCAGAGATTCTGGACAATATTTTGTTTTGGTGCCGAACACTAGGCAGCGCTTGTATGCATTGTAGTGCTGAATAAATAAATACTGGACACTGGTAATCCTCTCGTGGCACAACATTAAGTGTCTGTGTTTATTTGCCAAAACAAAAGCTCTCAGCGTGTGTAAATGTTGTATTCACACTAACACAGCTAAAACAGGCGCTCATCCCAGTTTGGAAACCTGATTAAGACACGGAGGCCGAGGCAATAATAGGAGAGATTTAGCTCTCGCTGCTTGGATAATGAGGCGGTATACATTTCTCTGCAGACTATGTGGGCTCCTGCAGGCTGTATGAGCTCACTTGTCATGGAAATAGTGTGAATATTGTATTAACGCAGGTACAGATATGGAGATTGATATAAACGGCTTATTTCCTACCCGGATGTGTGCTATTATCTGGGATATAAAGACAATCTCATGTGTAGTGTTCAGTGAGATTATTTATGTCTTATTTGAATGTAGATTAAATGAATTCAACCCCCTCCTTCAGGTTCTGCGAGGTGGCGAAAGAGAACGGCATGGACATTTTCCGCGTGTTCGATTCCCTGAACTACCTGCCCAACATGCTGCTGGGCATGGAGGCTGCTGGAGCGGCGGGGGGCGTGGTGGAGGCCGCCATCTCCTACACGGGCGACGTCTCGGACCCCATGAGGCAGAAGTACTCTCTGGACTACTACATGCAGCTGGCCGATGAGCTGGTGAAAGCAGGAACTCACATCCTCTGCATCAAGGTGAGGAAATAACACTAGACGCAGTGTTTTAAGTGTCTGGCTATAATAAGCCAACATTGTTTTCCCTGTGATAAGGAAAACTGGCACTTATTCTTTGCTTCTGTATGGAAATCCCTTCCCATCTGCCACCAGAATAACATAGAACCAGCTGGAAGGATCTTACTAGAAGTACTTTTTTTACAAAGGCTTATATACGCAGTCTTTTACACATGTATGAAGGTCATTATAATCAGGGACTGACCTGCAGTGTTTTTTTGGCCTGGTCATGCTTTAGGTAAGACATTATTGAAAAATTCTTATTTTAATGATGTTGGCAAGCTGCAGGTGTGACTGCTGCAATTATCACTTTTATTTCTGTTACATTTCTGGTGCTACATCTACTGTAACACCAACATTATAGCAGATCTTCAGCAAAATACAAAATGTATGGAATACAATCTTGGTTTTCTAATAACCAGTTTAGCCAATACATCATTATGATTTTACAGATTTACACAAAACTCATACATGCTTTTTAATTAGCATTAAAACCTCATATGTCGAACACAGCAGATTTGTTTCTCTTGCTCCAATTGAAATGACTCGTAAATGTGATCCTCTCCATCTAAATTAATATACTGATAATACTCGCATTGAATTAATTACTTTGTTGAAGCATGACAGAATATTTTCAAACGTTAATATGATAAACCCCCGCCCCTATGGTGCGATCAATCTCACGCAGCGGCGGCAGTCTCATAAAAGCATTGCACGGCTAATGAGGTTAACTTTTAACAGAGGAAATGAGCATGAAATAAAACTTCATGGAGTGCAATGATCACCAAAGGGAGCGTCATCTAAGCTCTGTGTGTGGAATTCTGTTTGTATCAATTTAGATTTAAATATTGAATCATCATCAACGTGGTGTTTGTTAAAAAAATAATACTTTCGTCATTATTTTGTTGTTCTAAATTATCCTTTTCCAGAATATATTGAGTCGTTGTTTTTTGAAGGCTTGTCTTTGAACATTAAATATATTTTCAGATAGAATATTGGAATTTCTCCAGGTCTAAATGGCTTCAATTAAACCTCATGGTGGCTGATTTAATTCAGATTTGTATCAGAAGACACAAAGCTTATTTGGAGAGTTTCACTATCAGAATCAGAAACAGGTTTATTGCCAGGTAGGTTCGCACATACTAGGAATTTGACTTGATGTCATGGTGCATACATAAAATATAAAAAACAAGAAATCTAATATAAAACACAAAATCTTTTACACCGTAATAAAATACAGTTAAATAGCAATAAAATAAAAATAAAATAAAGCAGTAATTTACATGGAAATAGAATGCTATAAATGAATTTTTGCATATAAACTATGAAATGTGAAATCAGAATATGTGCAGAAAGGAGTATGACATTGTGTGCATTAATGTAATGCATATAGTCTATGATGTGGCAGAGGTAAAGTGTCAGCGGGGGGGCCGGGCCTTGTTTAAGAGGCTGGTAGCGGAGGGGAAGAAACTGTTTAGGTGGTGAGAGGTATTGTATGTGGTAGTCTTTTCCAAGTCCTAATCACTAAAAGGATGTCGGTGTTTGTGAACATGTTCTTTCTGCTTCAGTTGTTCTGGCTGTTTTTACTCATCCGATTCCGACAAATTAGCAGCGCTCTGTGGTGCACAGCCCCACCTAGTGTCAGCAGAAAGTAATACAAATAATAATTCAAAAAATATGCAAAAAAAATATATGTTAAAATATATTTTAAGATCATGTTTAGTCATCCCATTCGTCTGTACATTGCTGTTTTAGTCTGCGTTCTTCCAATTAGTGTCCACAGTGTGCCTATTGAGCCGTGTTGAGCGATGTGGCGCAAGCCCCTCTCTCTGCTGTCTAAATGAATGGGTGCTGTAAAAACTACACTGCGCATGCTCAGAGTATCTATTCAATGTGTGCGGCAAAACAATTATCACCAGTGGGGCATAGTGCTGGCATACCTACCAAACGTCATCTCATAATTCAGAGAGCTGATTGGCTGTAAGTACATGTTCCGCAAAAAGTGTAGTTTTCACCCTGTAGTGAAGAGGAGACGAAAGAGAGCAGCGTATAGCGATTACAATCAGTAAAACGGAGAGAAAATGAATGAAGTTGACCATCTACTTCAGCTTTGGTAAGTTCATTTTATGTCAAATCTTTTGTTGATCTGCTGTGTTTTGCCTATAGGCTATTGCTCTGCTGGATCGATAGATATTGTGACCTTGTGATGAGTGTCTGTGCTTCCCCCCTCTCTCTCTATCGGAACCATGGATAGCCTACAGCTATTTGTTTACGTGTTTAAAAAAGCACCAGAAGCTTATATATATATACACACTTCTAAGTTGTTCCTGCCCCACCACTTTTGTACATATAAAAACGCCACTGCATATCCAAAACTTAGATTTGTTGCAGAAAGCATCTTAAAACAGTATTTAGGCATCTGTATAAAAGTCTGCACCTGTGTTCATTTTACTGCTCAGGATTCCAGGACAAATCTGAAATAAAAAATGGTATTGCATATTTAATATCGTGTGAACTTATTGCATTCAAATATGTTTTATAGGAATTGTTTCAATTTTCCATTTTCCTACTTTCTTAATGTTTCTTTCCCCTCCTTTTCTCTTTTTGTTTCCAGGATATGGCCGGCCTCCTGAAGCCGCAGTCCAGCAAGCTTCTGATTGGCTCTCTGAGAGACCGCTTCCCCGACCTGCCCATCCACGTGCACACTCACGACACCGCGGGGGCCGGAGTAGCCGCCATGCTGGCCTGTGCCGAGGCTGGAGCTGACGTAGTGGACGTGGCTGTGAGTAGTCATCGTGTCTGTTGAAATACTACTCTAATGTATGCTAGCCGATAATTATTCAGAATAGTCAATATCTCATGGTCATTTCATTTGGAGGCCAAGGTGCACCCACAAGTTATCTTGCCCACATAAACAAGCATTCTGATTACTACCTTTTTTCTGCAGTTTGCAGAAGTTGGGAGTTTCATTAAAACAATTGGCTGCTATTTGCACTTCTGGGCCATTCTACTGTTTAGTTCCTATTTACTCTTTATAAAAGAAACAGACAGTCCACTTTGGAGCAAACACTAAAAAACATGTGTTTGTATTGATCCCATTGCTTTACTTGGTTAATTTTGTTTCTTGTATTTTGCCACACAACGAGTCTTACAACACCGCTGCTTGACTTTAACACCTCTGGCTTGATAAGGGTTTTGTTTTGGCGGAAGGACATCTAAAGTCCTATTATTATTTAGCTACTTGTTAGCAACCACCTTTTGAAAGATTTAAAACGTTTAAAAATTCACGACTGGGGTATTTAATGATATTTTATTTTATATAACAAAACATGAACATCTCTCAAGCTTGCACAACACATTTTAGACCTTATTTTCGACATTTTACCAAGAACCTGTTGAAATCCAGACGAAGGAACTAGATGTCCAACAGATTTCATATTGAATGTCCCTCTGTAGGTGGACTCTATGGCCGGGATGACCTCTCAGCCCAGCATGGGGGCCATTGTGGCCTGCGCCAAGGGGACCGAGCTTGACACCGGTAAGAGAAATGCTCACCATCCTGTCAACAATGACCATAGACTGTTGTTGTATTAAACATATACCAAGATCTTGGGCAATGGAACACCACTCAATATATGTATTATTGTCATCAGATTGGAATTTGTTGAAATAAACACCTTCAAATACCGATATGGTGCTTTTTATAGTAGTATCTAGTCGTTGATGAGACAACTCTTACGTCCTGCTCAAAAAATATTCCTTAGTGTCTCTCTGAGGCGTTCCTGCTTTACACAAGGGAGAAGACATCAGTCAACAAATCAATAAATGACAGACCACATCACTGATTATGGCCAGAAAAACTAATGTGTTCTGCTCAGTGATGAAGTAAACAGACAATTATGAGAGGGAGATGGAAACGGACCAAAGAAAATATGCCAATAAAATCTGCCGAATTAACAGCACATCTATTGGCTGCTTTTAAAATGTTGGTTGGAGCCATGAATTATGCAGCATTATAATCATCAAAGCGTGCTAAAATCTGAATCCTGCTACCCAACACAGCCACAGTTCCCCTCTCTGTGGAGCATTTAGAGGTTAAAGGTTTTCCCAAGGTATCCTTTAAATGGCTGTTGGTTACACATTTGCTTTACCAACGCCAGCTCCTATCAGATCTTTCAGTCACACTCTGGACCCCCGCTGCTTTACTCTATCTTCTCAGGAGGTCAACAGATAAGTGGAGGGTTGGCTTTCTAATGTGTTCATTCCCCTTTGGGTGTGCTGTTGTCCAGTGTGTTCTGATGTCATTTTCATGGGCTTTGAAAAATCTGGAGTCTCTCCCACCCATGGGCGGTGCCAGGATTTTTTTGCTGCAGTAGCTTAGCAGTTGCTATATGACAGCACGGCGTTGCTAGTTAATTTTCAAAATAAATAAACAAACAATACCAGTGGGCCAAGCACGAGCCTGTTCATATTGTAGCGCTCACCGCTATTCAAGATCACAGATCGCGAGCCTTCAATGTCGAAAACGTTCTCTTTATTTTATGGTATTGAAGGCCACAGCCACGCCTTACAGAGCCAATCAATAGTATAACACTCATTATGACTTTTCCTCACACTCGAACACAACTCCTACCGTCTCGTACTCCCTACACACACACCGGGAAACGCACACACACACCTGGAAGGGGCGGTCTCTCCCTAACTCCCGCCAACAACATTGCCTAAATAACTTTCCGAATGTACTAAACTGTGCACATCTGATAACTGAAATAACTATTAACTTGGACACGCTACAATATTATCGTTAATATTTACATTAAAACATTCCTTTGACACTTATAACATTACTTTGCAAGGTAAGCACAACCAAAATAAGTTTGTAAAAGCAGAATTTGAACACTGTTTCTGTGCTCCTACAAGATTTGTGTATAATACCATTACACCCTAAGCGTACACAATAGCGATCGTTCACTGTTTCAACTGGCATGCTGTGGCATTTAACCTCATCACCACACCGCAAACAGACAGACACACACAAACACACAAACACACACACACAAACACACACACACACACACACACACACACACCGTTGGAGATCGCGGCCGTTTACGCTGACTTGTGAGAAATCTTTCCATTTTCGATCTGTGTTCACATACTGAGAATTATAACAACATTAGCCAAGTAACAGTTTGCGCTTTAACTTACAATGACCCCTGATAGATCTCGCGAGAATGTGTATAAATATATATAGATACATTTTCATAGCAAAACAATGGGGTTGCTAAGCTGTTGCTAGGCCAATTGTTGGAGTTGCTATAGCAAGCTACCCCCTGGCGCCGCCCCTGCTCCCACCTCTGAGAGCTGCCCGGGCTCAGTGACCTCTGCACAGTGTGAAATAAAATCTACCCAGCCAGAAAAAAAAGAGAATTAAAGGAACATGGAATAAGGCTAAAGGAATTAAAACTGATGTGAGGTTTGCTACTTAGTTATGTAGAGGAATGCTACTGGGAAAACGGACTCAGCTCTCCTAACTAGATGTGATCGCTCATTTCCATTACTCAGAAATAGCAAAAGCGCAAGCTAATTATTTTTACGCTACATTCACAGGACACAGCTAATGGACTGTACGCTCCACTGCTGTTTGCCAAGTCCTTCATGTGTTCTGCTGTGAGGACGTAGGTGCACACAGTCTCCTGCCTCTGGGCATCAGGCAGATGTTTACTTCCATCAGTGCCATTTTTGATTACCATGTGGTCTTAAGAGAACAACCTCACTAATACCTATCAATGACTGCTTGTGTCCCATGGTACATGATTAGCCATGATGCTAATATTCTTTTTGTCCTATTTCTCGCCTTGTACATGTTTATTGAGGCATTCCCATAGAGGCCATGTTACAGAGTCTTCAATGGTTTATGTAAAACATTTAAAAATAGATGTACCACTGTGGTAGAATAGAGCATTATCTTTTTGTTCTGTGTTAGCAAGCTTTGAATGTTTCACCTTGAAAATGATTTGAGTATCTTTAAGATAATTCCATTTGAAAGCCAATGATTATATGTTAAAAGGATTATACAACGGAAAACAGGATTGTATTTATTAAGGCAATGCTCCTTGTATTTCTTCCTGTAATTACCTGTAAGTTGTGAGCACTTAATTTCCAAACCGACAACATCATCTTCACTTAATGTGTGTGATGCAGCCACAGTAGTTGTATAGCAGCACACATCCTGCTGTTGTTAGTCTCTCAGGGCACATTTCAAGAGAATGGCTTTCTTTTCTAGGCTCATTGTTTAATATAACTGTAGAAACAAGCACACAGGGAGGAAACTGTCGTAGAAGATGAGGCTAATTCTGTAATAGTCCATGAAGCAGCACAGCGACAGAGCCATTACGGCATGCTGTGTTCAGAGTGCGATGCGTGACTTGTGTTCTGAAAGTGAACTCTCTCATGGACATATGAGGCCGGAGCTGACTGCAACAGGTCCACGTCCGCTCTCATATCGTTCAGGGCAGTGTAGGAAGCATCAGGGACAGAAAGTCTCCCATCAGTCAGACACAGTCCACGTTAGTGACAGAATATCAATGTGTGAGCTTACAGTTCCCTGAAAAAAGAGCGAGAGAAGGACAAGGTCGTTACTCAAGAGCGAGAGGATTTCAAGTGTCAGTTTATTCCAGGCATTTTAATTTGCCTCACTTGAGACTGAGATTGGGATGCAGGATGTCTCCCACAAACTCACACTCACACATGTGTGCATACTTATAGTGCATCCTGATGGGGCCCTGGTCCCTGAATTATGCGGAGAAACTTCCAAATACTTTTCTACCTGTCACCTTGTGCTTGTCTGCTCTATTCATCTCTGCCTCTCTTTATGCGCCTCATCTCCTTTTGACTATCTCCTTTTATAATCAGACACAGTACTTTCTTGAATACTTCCAAACCTCACTGACCCCTCTCTGTTTACTGCTTTCCCTCTTCCCTCTCTTTCTCCCATCTCTGTTACAAAGCAGTCTCTCATGTCTTTTCAAATCACCCTCCATTCTTCCACATTGTCTCTTCATCTTCCTCCTCTTCCCTCCCTCTCACTCAGAGACAAAGTAATTAAGAGCATTTTACATCCATATTTCACTCCCTCAAACTCCGTCACAATGTGCTCTCCCCCTCACTGTCTCACACAGTGTCTCTTCGTCAAAGCACGAGCAGCGCTTCTCTGGTTAATTAATTTGTCTCTCAGCTGTCACTTTATTTATTCATTCAGCCACAGTGTTTGTGTGTGTGTGTGTGTGTGTGTGTGCGGATTTAGAAGTCATGCATATTCACAAACACTCACGCTGTTGAATGATGACACACATTAAAGTGGCCCTTGTGTTTGCTTGACACAGCGTTTACTGCCTCTCCTCATGAATCATGCATGGCTTTAATTGATGAGGAATTCTTAGCTGCCACAACAATGCAGCCGTCGAAGATGTAGCGGTCATCAAACACACAGAAGAATGTACTCAAAGCAGAGATATTAGTGTATGTAGGCTCTCAACCACACAGACAAGGTTAGCCAACATGTTGACCTTCTTCCTCACCTCCCTCCTCTTCCTTTCTTCATCCGTCTGCGTTCAATTTCCCCCTCTTTTGTCCCTGAGTCTTCTCATGCTCATCCGTCTTCATCTCTGCGTCTTGGTTAGCTCTTATTGTCTCATCAACCACAAACTGTGTGTGTGGCTATCTCCCTACAACTGTGTGTATCTGAACACAACTGTGTGTGTCTCTGTTTGTCGGCTGCATTAGTGAGCTTGTGCTGCTAATGAGTTGTATATTGATAACACTTTGTCACTGCCGAGCAGCCGTTTAAATGACGGATATGTGTGTGTGTGCATGTCTATGGTATACACATAGCACAATGTTGTATTGATTGATGATTTTAGGAGCGTAACCAGCAGTCCAGAAAAAACAAAGCTGTATTTACCTCCAGTGTGATTTAGAAAGCGTCAGAATCCATTTGCAGCTGCTTTAAAGGATGCAGGCTAAAATAAACGTTTTAATCCCCGGAGGCAAGATACAGTAGGTCGTCGCAAAAGCAAAAATCAGCTAGATAAAAGACATTATTGTTATTCTCGCTTCATCACGGCCAACTTTCCTGAATAATGCTCCTCCACGACAAAGTGGGTCAATTCAGCTTAACTTAATATGCTTTGATAGAACTTTCCAGCTCATACAGGTGTGGTGTTTTACTGCTTAGACTTTTACTCAGGAACTGAAGACTTGTGAAAATAATTTTTCAGAAGAAGAATTACTTAGACCCTTTTAATTTCGAATAAATAGAACAATCTAGGCTAACGAGCGGGACAGCTATAAGCGGTTGACCAATCTCAACAGCAGTGGCGAACCTTGTCTATCACAACTGGACCTTCTGTAGACCCCCCCCCCTGAAAAGAGGTTTTGCAGCACAGGCAGTATGAGAAAATTAAGGACCCTTTTGAACATTAAAGCATGAAAACATGTCACAGTAGAGGCACACAATACTAATATGAACTTGAAAATGTACATAATATTTCCTCTTTAGGTACAAGCAAACCGCCAAATTCACTTAATGTATTAAAAGAATAATGCCCGTTGTGACTATCACACTCAAAGATTGTGTGGTAAGGGGAGCAGTATTTAATAGTTTAAGTTGCTATTTTTAAGTATTTTAAAGTGGAGAACAAGGTGCTGTATCGTAGAGAGGCGGCCTGACCTGATCTTTTAAAATGCCGTCACTTCCACTTGTAATCGAGGCTGTAATTTAAAATGGAAGCGTTCCAAAGTGTTCTCAAACAGAGAAGGAAATGGAGCTATTACTGAGCGGCTTGGCAGGCAGCGGATTTTGAGGAGAACCAACATGCACATTAGCCTCACATTAATTCCTCAGTGGCTCCAATTTTCCACAAAGATCACAGTGGAATCACACAAACACTTTCTGGAGTAAGTGCTCGCTTTGAATCATGACAATTCAAGCTTGTCACTCTGTTGTAAGCAAGCTTAGTTTGTCTCTTTATCATGGAGGACGCTCACTGCAAAGACATTTCTGTCATGGCATTTAAACAGATTTTCCCATTTAAGGTAATCAGCTTTCGAGAGAACACCTTACCTGGCTGCAGCAGAATGTCATGAATACTAGCAACAGATGGTTCTTTTATGGATAACAAAATATCACAGGGATTTAATGAGCAGCAAAGGCAGGATGTAAACGAGCACTAATGAATTAATAGTTTTGCTAAACCAACACTGTAGCTAAGGACCGTTCAAGCTTTTATGGCCCACATTTTTACTGACATAATACCATTTTGAAGAGTTGTCAAAAAAAGTGATTGTTTGGAAGATTGTCGAAATGTCTCTGCTGCCATTTTGGTTTCACCAAAGTTAGCAAACTGGACTGGTTTTCCCCGGTACATGTGAAAATGAATCTTGACACACTGTCAAAACTGTGACACGTTTCACATCATGTTTATATCTATCAAAACCAACAGCATAATCCCGAGACAATTGTACTTTGGCAAAATAAGAAATACAGCATATGAGTATTATCCCCATAAATATATCACTATATTCCAAGGTTTTTATTTTTATTCGGTAAACACAAAATCATTATCACAAAGCATTTGTAGTTTGCATGTAGTTGCCCCTTGCTTTCTTGTAGTCTTTGGACAAATTGCATCTCAGTTTAAAAGGACAGTAGTTCAAAGAAAATGTGCATGGCGGCCATTGATTTGATGTCATTCTGTGCTGCAGGCATCGCTCTGGAGAAGGTGTTCGACTACAGCGAGTATTGGGAAGTAGCGAGAGGCCTGTATGCTCCATTCGACTGCACGGCCACCATGAAGTCTGGAAACGCTGACGTGTACGAGAACGAGATCCCCGGAGGACAGTACACCAACCTGCACTTCCAGGTACACCCAGCTATTCTGGTCCTTTTTATTCTGTTTTGTGTAAGTGATTGATTTTGAAGCTAAACAATCTCCAAGCTGGATTTCACAAAGCCACATTTGTAGCTCTTTTCTTTAGCCTTTATTTAACCAGGTGAAAAATCCCATTGAGATCAACGATCTCTTTTTCAAGGGAGACCTGCACTATTCCACCTTTCATGGATAGGTGGATGTTAACACAGATTAGTGCAGTATGACATTACATTTTGGTTCATTGTTGTCGGGTGCAACTTCCCCTTAATGCTTATTTGACTGTCTTATTTCAGAAAGCAGTCTTAAAACAATATTGAAGAGAAAAATAAACGTATTTTCTCCTACATTCGATACAAATATGCATTGTTTTGTTTGGTTCAAAGGTTCTCTAGACGCAATAACTGAAAGCAAGGCGGTGCATTCATCAGTGGCACTGTTTTTAGAAACTCCTAAAAATGTTGCTCGAACAACTAATTTAGTTTAAGGTACATGAAGTACAAACAGGCTGTCTCCTATGTGCTCACTCAGTCTGAGATGTCTCACAGTGACTGAATCCAAAGCTCTGTGCAGCTGCTTAAATAAAACTGTGTGCTCATCCTGTAGACTAGTGTGACTCATTTATATCAATAGTATTGAACAAATACACCATGTACCAAATTACAGTTTACAGGGGCTTACCGCACCGGCCCATCTGGCCTTTGCTACACGAGCGTCCTCTCTATCCATTTAAAAGCTGTAGGTGTCACTTCACAAATTACAGCTTTGAATCAATGACTGAAAGAGCCTTGATATTTTTCCTCTAACGTGGCATTACAAATATTATTTGTCTCCACTCATTCCTTCTGTTATTCACTGTGGCTCTTTGCAGGCTCACAGCATGGGACTGGGACATAAGTTCAAGGAGGTGAAGAAGGCCTACACCGAAGCCAACAAACTCCTGGGAGACCTCATTAAGGTGAGACATGAAGAGTGTATCCATGTCTTACTGCATGAGATCACACTGTTGCGTTTTACCAATCTGTGCTGCACACACACTGCAGCACCGAGATGTTTCTGGCATGTGTTTTATATTTCTTCACTGACTCAATCCCAGATTAAGGTTTATTTTCTGTGCAGCCTGACAGTCTGTTTGACCTTCCTCTGAGTCTGCCGTTTTTTTTCTCTCACTCTACCCACCTTTTGATAGTGTTGCCCTCTCCTCACACATTTTCACTCTAAGCTGACACCTATTTAGTGCTAGATTTCTTCTTCATTTACCTGAGCAGGGTATTTCTATTCAGCACTGATACTGAGTGTGGTTCTTTGTATTTCCTTTCTCTGTTTGAATTAGCATAGAAGCTCCCGTTTTGGCTTGATTTCCTGAAGGGCACATTAATCATAGTCGTGGAGAGGGAGCTCCATTGCTAATTCCGCTGTCAACTATTTCATTCTCAGCCTAAATTCACCCTCATCCCCTTTTTTAGTTTTTCACTATCTTTCATTAATTCCTTTGTTTTCTCTCCCTTCATTGTTTACTATCACTGCTTAGTAATAGATTCATCCCTCTTTCACCGTGGTAACACTCGCTCTGTAATTATTTTCTTTCCTACTTTGCATTGTCTTTCTTTATCACGTCTTTTCCACCTTTCCATCGCAAAAACATTTGTTCCCCAGCCATCTCATTTTAATTAGCTCTCTCTGGTTTGAAATTCTTCTCTCTCTTATTTTTAATCTGTTTATTATTTTTGTGTTTCTTCCACAATGTTCCCTCTATATTCCCCCTCTCCCCGATTTTCTTTCCCACTCCCAAGTTTTCCTCATCAATTCCTCTCCCCATACTCTATCAATTCAATTAAGACTCGGCGGGCTTCACTGCACAAGCCAATGTTGTCTTAATTTGCCTGCTGCTCTGCTCTCTGCTGTGTCCCGTTAGCCCGACGACGGCTGCGTCTCTCACACACACTCGTCGATAAGGGAGAGGGTGTGTGCTTGTCAGATAAAGATGTAAAGTACACACACCACACACTGTGCCGGCACTGACCAACCGAGGGATATACACTGACCATGCTCTCACACACACATGCATCCACCGCCATATCTCTGCAGCTCAGAGCTTTAGTGAAGGATTGTGCTTGTCTGAGGGCTTGATTTATAAACCACTTTAGCCCCAATGTATAAAATAATAGCAAGGCACTCCTCTAGGGCCGTTTATATAAGTGAAATATAATGTGTGATTAGGATCAGGTCCAAAAGGGCTCTTCCTTGGCCAATGCTACATCCTTTCACCAAGTTTAATGAAGGACCCGTATATATTTTCACGGCTAATTTTGGATTTAGAAAATATCAGTTTTTATCAATCACTGCCCCACCTTACCATGACCAAACTGTTGTTATGTCAGAAGTTGAGATGTTTAATCCTCATCACCATTTCAATCAAAGTAATTAGCTTTAACTTATTCCTTATTTTCTTAGCTTATTATTGCTGTTTCCTGAATTATCAGGGAATAAACAGATTTATAGGCTCATTGGCTCCCGCTTAATTCCAAATGAGAAGCCATGAAAAGGCTGCGACTAGTCAGAAATGTGTTTCCGTAAATGCTCATAAGCCTAACTGTTTGATATCTCAAAACTAATTCCAGTATAATCATAATGTTGCTGAGCATCCAGTGCAAATGTACCCAGACTGCCAGAATCCATGGGCATGAGTCACAATTATAAAGGACTTTGTTGAGGATATAAAAACACCCGTAGTCTTCCTTCGCATTAATGCTGATTTCATTAGTCCGTTGAAAAAGTTTTAAAACAATGCAGCCATGACGTTTGCATGTACCACGTGATTAGTGCCAGTGTATGTTTGCACACTGCTTGTAAAAAGTAAACTTGAGACAGAGTGTGTGTAGCTAGCATGAAATGGGATAAGAAAGTAAATGGCATGTATTTAAGAGCTGCTGGTATTAGTATAGTATAAAACTATTATAATGCCGTCTTGCCCTTTTTTCCATCCTTAATAATTCAATGGATTCTTAGTTTATGCTGTATTTATCCCAACAGTCAATCGATTGATTTCAAATGGATGATATGCAGGTGCTGTTTTCTAGAAGAGAGCAGTGCTCAATTCAAACAGGAAGCCATTGAACAGTCTGTCAGGTGGAGGAACCTTGAAGGCGGAGCAGCTGATGCAGCCGAGTGGTGACAGCAGACAGGGATTTATTTGTTCTTCATACAAACGTTGTGCAGCATGGCGTCATTTATCCTGCCGACGCACACCTGCAGGTCCTCGTCCCCTCATCGTCCTCCTGCTCACGTCCTCTAGTTGTGTTTTCTGCCAGATAATAACATGGAAGAAGTCCTCTCCTCTTGTTCTGAAGCTTATTATTATTAATGTGTTGCTTAAGGGCTTATTTCCTTAAGCAAGGAACAATTCAACCAAACAAAGATAAACTCATGACTACAGGCTCCGTTAATCTGTGTATGTTTTTTTAATCTTATGCGAGGTGTTACGCAACATGTCCAGTAAATGACAGTTAATGATATCTGATTGCACCTTCGCACCATGTTGCAAATAGACAGCATGAGCGTTTTATAAAAGTATCAGTAAAGCAGGAGGAAAATAAGACTGTTCAGGTTTCTCCAAAGATATATATAAATAATAATATATACTATACAACAGATTTTTTCCAATGAACCGCTAGCTCTATCAAATGTCCATCACAATTACCTAAAGCCAATGATCTCTCTAAAGGAATACTTTTCTAGACATTGTTCTAAGAGTAAGATTGACACCACTTAAGAATGCCAGCGTATTTGAATTGAAATCGAGATATCGTTCTCTGCTTTATATACATATTATTTATTATTTCTCCAAATCTGATCCAACTACTGTCTTAAACGTATTACTCAGTATTGTGCGCGTGCATTTAAACATGGTGTTTGTGTAGCTGGAATATTTGTTGTATCTGTTGGTTCAGTTGAATGCACTTGAGTTCTTATTTAATATTCATTGTATTGTGTTACATTTTCGGAGGCATTGACTAAAGTAGGCTTACCAATGCAGCTACTTCACAAAGACTTGTTTTGATTGAATTACCAAAAGAAAATTGACTCTTGTTTCAGCTCAATTTATTTTAATAATAATGTATAATGCTTTAGGTGTCATAATAATATATAATAAACCAGTCAACACATCAGGAGGCAATGTAGACTGTTAGGTCTGTTTGTCAGCAGAATTACAGAAAAACGACTTGCTGGATTTCGGAGGGTGCAGCAAGGGCAAAAGAAGAACTCATTATTTTGTTTAGTGTATTGGAATCACGCGGCGGATACGCTCATTATTCTCCACTTATGGAAACAGCCTTGGCGGAGGTCTCTGCTCTCCCAGGGCCTCTCCAACTCTGCGCTCCTCTTCCTCTGTTTCCCTCCGCTCCTCTTCATCGCTCAGCCTCATCTGCCGCAACATGAGCTTGTCAATACAAGGAGGACAAGTTGTATTTGTGTGTATGTTCTGTCTTTTCTCCTCTCCCTAACTTACTCTGTCACTTCCCTTTTGGAAGTACAGACACGTCTCCACTCACCTCCACTCTGTGTCTCTCGCAGGTGGAGCCTCTCCTCTTGTTGCCTGTGGGGCTGCAGATGTCTATTACTCTTGTCTGTTCTGCTCTCCTCCCCTCGGTTCATCTGTCCATCCCTTTCTTTCTCTCTCTGCCCCTCTCTTAATCATCCTGTCTGCCGTCTCTCCCTCTCCACTTTCACTTCGACTCATCTCCTCCTCCACGGCTCCCTCCCACCTTCCCTCATTTCGATTACCCTTCCTTCATGTATCTCTAATCTTTCTATCGTTTCTCCTCCTCCTCCTCTGAGTCTCTCGTTATCGCTCCTCTCTCCCGTCTCCTCCTCTCCTGACACGTACCATTCTTCACTCTGCCCCTTGTTCTGCTGGCTAGCACTATTGTGTGTGTGTTTGTGTGCCTGCTTTCTCACACTCGCACAGATGCACACTCTGCTGCGGATGATATAATCCTTTGCCCATTAGGGGAGTTCAGGTTTGGATAGAGTTGCATAACAAAACAAATTCAAGCAAATTACACAGACCGAAAACACACACAGAATCACTGACACACACACACACACACACACACACACACACACACACACACACACACACACACACACACACACACACACAGGCACCAGATTTGTGCTGTCAGGAGTGCAGCAACACTTATGGAGAGCTGTGCATTAGTGGAAGTCAGAAGGAGGGACAAAAGGCAGCAGAAGAGGACTGTGTGAGAGCTAACATGCAGATAGATGGAGAGGGCAGGTCAGCGCTGAGAGATGGAGCTGGACGAGAGTTTAGAGGGTCGTGTGTGTCAAGTGTGATGATACGAGGCTGTGTGATGAACTGTGTAAGGTTACAGAAGAGTTTAAGTGTGTGTGAGAGAGGCTCAGGGTGCTGAGGGCAACGAGCAACCTTACTGAAGATGGAAAGGCACTAGATGCTTCTGTCCACTGTTCATATGGGAATTAAATGTTAAAGTGAAGCTGAGGTCAACTGAGAGAATTCTTTAAGATGCAATAGCCGATGGGGGCCATAAGTATGAAAGAAAGTCATTTTTGTGTGGATTTTCTTTTTAAGTCTTTCAGATTGAGAGAAAATTGCTTTTCTCTTTTGTTAGGGAACCACATCGCTTAACTTTTCAAAGTTGTCTCACTCTTACCTACAGTAATACGCCGTGTTACCATACTTTAAATCAGCTATAGTTAATGCTTAATCATTTTCTTTCATCTCACCTGAACATTATATACAATAAAACAGACAATTTACTCGTTGACCTTATAGCTTACATCATCTTCAGGCAAATAAACGATGTAATGCAACATAAAAAAACATGACATAAGACATTTATTCCAAACGACTCACTAGCTAAATTTCACATCTTCTTGACTGCTCAAGATCCACATTTTTTTTTACATTTAACTGTTTGATTTCTTTACTGAAATATTAAAGCCCCATAAAGCTGCTAGTGGCCGATGGTCTGCATCTTCCAGAATGTGCAGCTGGCTTTAGATTTTGCCTTTTTTGTGCATTTAGTTTGTTCAGAGTTTCAAAAAAAGAGATTACTTACATCAGTCCAACTGAGGAGAACACTACAAATTAAGTGTCTTTTTTGTGTTACATCAATGTTTACAAGCATTGCTGTTTTGGAGGGGAAGAAACTATACAATGAAAATGTCACACGCTTAGATCCCTAACCTGAAAGTGTAATTATCTTGTTAACAGTGTTTATAAATGACAGAGGTGTGGACTTCTGACTGAGACGGATCAGCAGCGAGAGTCGGAGCAGGGGAAATCAGATTGTTCTAACCCAGCTCGGCCAGGATGTGATTTACCTCACTCCTCGTCCAAAAGTATAGGAAAGCTCACACATCATGCGCGGCTCACACACACTGTTGGAAATAAGATTTTCTTTTCCTGTGTGAGGCACCCAGAGAGTTGGAGGTGGGTAATTTGTCAACGGAGATTGATAATGAGCACATTCTCGATGTTGCCGTGGATCAAGGGGAAGAGAAATAATCGGCCGTGGGACGGAGGGGGGGATTCATGAGGAGTAAAGACTCAAAACCGCAGCTGTTAGTGTGAAGACAGAAGATATGAGGTAAAGCAAAGCGGATAGGGATGGAGTACAAATGATTGTTCATCAAAAGAAGAGAAACAATTCTTAACGTTGCAGAGAATAAAAGAGAAAATAGATTTTGAGACAGAGGAAACAAAGGAGACGGTTGAATGTAGAAGAGGAATGCACAGTCACGCTACCTTCTGTGTTTCAGATAGATTTCAAATAACTCAGCAGTGATTTTTTTCTGGTTCCCCAGCTTTAGAAAGTTAATGGCCTCACAGGGGATTTCCGCAGCCCTTTCAAATCTCTTAAGCTTTTCTGTAAATAGTCATTCTGTTAGAGCAATGTATCATTATCCGCTCTATTCACAAACCCAAACACACTGAGCTTCAGGTGTCGAGGCAGGGAAGTGCACACTTGTTTCAATCAGCTTGCAAGGCTGCTTTGAAAACCGTTGTGAACAGTGTTACCATCCTGAGCTGCTATTAAAATAAAGCTTGGATTGTTCTGAAATTCCCCAATTTAAATCTGCAGGGAAAATATCTGTGTACACAGACGCTTCGTGTTTTTGGTTCTCCATCTGTCCCTCCGTCCCTTTCTCGTTAATCAGTCATCGCAACAGACTAACAGAAGGGCATTCTTCAAATGTAGCACAGTCCACTCAAACACAAAGATAAATTGCCCGCTTCTACTAATTTTGTTTGTTTTTTAGATGTATAAACTTTCTAAATTGTTGAAATAGTAGAATAAAAATGTATAAAAACAGAGTAGAAATATGATGGTTAAAGTTAAAAGTTCACTGTGAATTCACAAAATACATATTATTCAATAATTCATACACTATTATGATAATTTCACACAAACGTCTTATAGGAAAAAGTGGTGAAGGGAGGACATTTTGGATTGGAGGAACTGATGGATGTACAGCTAGCTATTTGTAACTCCACAGAGAAGTCTGTAAATGTTAATCTGGAAAAGTGTGGAATTTTGAAATGTTTGGAAACCCTGCAGGAAATGATAAAAAAGAAAACGGTACAATCTAATTGCTCTAGTATAGTACTCCTTTAGTCTCAGAGCAGGTACAGTATGATTCACTTTGATGAAAAAATAATATATATAGAAAAAGTGTATTTTAATTGGTAGCATTCTTTCCATTAGCACTGATGTGTTAGCCCAGTGTACGATCTGTAAGAATGAAGAGGTGGTCTGTATCCTGTCATCTCCAGGGACCAAAGGCTCTAACACAAACACACACACACACACACACACAAACAAATTAGACTGTGCTTGTTCAAAGACTAAAGTGATCTCCGGAGATCAGCGAGCCCCTCAGCCCCAGGGGGGTTGTGGTAATCCCAGAACAGCGTTTTTTAGATGTGTGTGTTTGCTTCAAGTCTTGTGCTTCTCTTTGGCACACATCTCTAGAAATAGGTGTCAGGTTCTCTTTTGGAGAATGTTTGATCTTTATTCAGCCGTCCGCTCTTACTTCTGTCGTGCTGCCATCAGAAATCATCAGAGTGCACTAATTGCCACACTAATAGGCCTTTTTAGTGAGAGGCTTTCTCTTTGTTCTCTAGCTGTTTTCCATTAAGAAATTCCTAGTGAAACTATGAATCACGCTCATACAGGACTAGGGATGGGTATCGTTTGAAATGTATCGATTCCGGTTCCGGTTCTGCTTATCGATTCCGGTTCTTATCGATTCCCCGTTTAGATTCCAAAATTGTTAAAGAAAGAGGTCAAACGTTTAGATAACAAAAATATCTTTATTCTTTTAAGCTTTAACTGACATTTTTACAAATAAACAATATACATGCAATACAAATGTATTGCACAATAGCTGTGCTTTATTTGAACTGAGCTATGCCTGTGGCAAGCTATTAACAGGCATTACACTGTGCCTTGTCTTTTTCTTTTTTAGTGTAGTGGAGCCTCACTTTAGGCGTTTACCGCTATCCATCTTTGGTGTTATGAAGTGACTGAGCTCGTGAACTGTCTACGGGAGGGCGGGGGGAGCCTCGCTGCGAGGAAACTGTGGACCTCTGTCGCCGCAACTTACATGATGCCGTTTAAAAAAATTAAGGACGGTGCCGGCCGTCAACGGCCCGCTGACGACCGGCCGTTCTGTGATTCTCCAGAACACACAGATGGCCAGTCCGCCCTTACCCTGGCTGTATTCCACCGGGTCACCGCGGCGCCGCAGCACAGACGGACCCGGTGGAATACAGGGTCTACCGCATTTTGGAACCGTTAAGCACTGGCATTTTCTTATCGGTTCTCATCTGGAACCGAGTTTCGGTTCCCAACCCTATACAGGACACTGTACTGTATGTCCTCTGCTGGTGGCTCTAAATTATGAGACTAGTTTATAATTTCACAAGAGTTTGGTGTTTCTCTTTCCATCATTTATATTTAATTTTAAAATAAAGCTAGGAACAAGTTGTGTTGTTCCTGCACAGATGTAATTATACGTCAACACTTTGAATAACTTCTAACCACCTTAAAAGCATTCTAAAGAGAATATTATGTATGACAACTATGAGAATAATTATACACTTTGATGTGTGAGTGAGATGCAGAAAGTGATCCAAAGGTTGTTTAAATGTTTTGGGTTAATGGGTCTTTTTATTTGACCTCTCTCTCTTTAATGGTCCGAATACCAGAATCCTTTATTCCGTCTTCATTCATTAACAGAGTAATAAGTGCAATTGATATCAGTGTCCTTTTAACAGTTAAAAAAGAAGACCACTTATCACCATTATGCTAATATGGATAGCTATTACCATAATGAAATGCCATAGTTTTTAGAGAGAAGTGTAGCTCGTGTACCAAAGCCTATGATTAAAGGGACTGTATGGATGTTAGCATTTTTCATTTCTCATTCTGCAGTCGTGGCCCTTTCTTATTCTCAGTGTTTAATCTTCAAAGAAAGCATCCTAATAAAACTAAGAGTCTGTCACCACGTTCCTCTTGATGCACCTGCACACTGCTGACACAAAACCACACAGCAGGACAAAGAAGTGCCGACTGCTAACAGCTGCTACAACTAAAACCAAGATTGCACCAATAAAACAAATCTCTAATATCCTGAATAGATTCTGAGTGAGTTTTCCTGATGTTTGTCAGATTAAAAGGCCAGAGAAGTGATAGCACCTTTCTTTGTTCAGAGCCAACTGAGATATCATCTGCAGAAGCTGCACTTTAATATGTTGTGTACCAGAAATACTAACCTAAGCTGATATTAGCTCTCCTCTGAATCTGAACCAACAGTAGGGATTGATCACAGACAGTAACCCTTGTACCTCTCTCCCTGTCAGGTGACCCCCTCCTCTAAGATCGTGGGGGACTTGGCCCAGTTCATGGTGCAGAACAACCTAACCCGGGCGGAGGTGGAGGAGAGGGCGGATGAGTTGTCCTTCCCCCTGTCGGTGGTGGAGTTCCTGCAGGGATTCATCGGGATCCCACATGGAGGATTCCCCGAGCCGTTCAGATCTAAGGTACACACACACACACACACACACACACACACACACACACACACACACACACACACACACACACACACACACACACACACACACACACACACACACACACACACACACACACACACACACACACACACACACACCACACACACACACACACACACACACACACACACACACACACACACACACACACACACACACACACACACACACACACACACACACACACACACTCTTTCCTCCTGAAGTTAAAGTCTAACATGGATTTCTGACCATTTCCATACAAGAACATGAATAGATTCTAGTTTTATATTCTTCCTCCATGGCACAAGGCACTATGTTTTTGGGTTGCCTGCCTTGAGGGTATTTTTTTAAATGTGTCCAAACCGCCCACATGAACTAACATTAATACTAACTTAATATTCGTGTGCTGATTATGACTTTTTTACGGATAAATTAGGTGAAAATGAAATTTAGACAGACATAGACGTGAAGAACAACTAAAAGGGTTGGTGGAGGACACTGCAGTGAAGGGTGAGATTAAGAGAGGGGTATGAAATGCAATGTGGAACTCCAAAAGATTGTTTTAATGCTATCTCCTAAGGTTAATACAACCACAATATTTATTTAGTTCCATCTCTTACAAAACTTTCTTCCTTTACTTCTACTTTATATGTAAGAACACATGCAGAGAGAATTTGAAAGCCCATCAGTATGCAGCTGCACACACACATTGTGTCACATGCTTAGTTGCAGCTGACATTTGCAAACAGTGGAGAAAACCTTGGTATTGCTCTGTCCTCTCTACTCAGTTTCCCTGCGTCCGTCCCCTTCTCATCTATTCACAACTGCAAATAGCAAGGGAGCAACTAAAGCGACTGAAACACGAATAAAGACAAGTTTGTCACATTCTCCCAAAAACCTGCTGACATATTGGCTTACTTGACATTTCCCCGAAAAGTCAGAGTGTAGATTTTCTATTCCTTGGGGGAAGAAAGGAAACTGGTGAATGTTTTTTCCCCAAATCGTGCTTTTCATAATGTATTATCAGTGAGCTGGCTGCCAACTACAATGTGAAATATTGGGTACGAGACCCTATCCGCACTTTCCCTCAGGACACACACCAAGTCACTGTGTGTGGCGGAGCACATTTTGAGGCCGCGGCAGAGCTTTTGTGCAGAGCCTGATTTATAATTAAAGGATTATTCAAAAGTAGTTACTCATCTAGGTGTAGCAAGCCCACCTTCTGACCCATATCTATGAGGCTGATATCCACACCCATTCATGGCCACTTTCATTTAGTCTAGGGTCGTTTTCTCCTGCCTTGTCAAGTTCAGCTTTTTGCTCCTTTCATCACTTAGCTGTAGGTTTCTCCCTCACATCTTTCCTCCCCTTTGTTTACATCTCTGTGGAAATAACTCCTGACTTCCTGTCACCCTCACCATCAAGTTGTCCTTTCTCTGTTAAATGGAGTAAAGCTGGGAGATTATACGATCAGATATTTGTCATTTAGCCTGCAGGCAATCACTGTCTGCTACCTCTCTATTAGTGTCTCTCAATCGATCTATTTCCCTAAAAGGTGGCATGGGAGTCATTCATACCAAACAGACCGGTTGGTGGAAGTCCGAATCCATGTCAATCTTTAGGTCAGCGTTAAAAATCTTTGTGCTGAATGTCACTTGTTCAGCATCCCACCCTCAATATTAAATGCAGCCGTTTTCACACAGCTCATAGAACTCATTCTCTGCCTGCTCTGATTCACAGTGTCATTCAGCCTTGGTTTAAATGATTTTTGCTTTCCTTTCACAATATTTTGATTCAGACACATTTTGTGCGTCTGTGTTTACATGCGAGCTGTAAGTTTGAGATAAATCTGATTTATTTAGCTGTCACCCTCTGAACATCTCGCAGCCCTTACAGAGAATAAATCAAAAATAATTGGTGTCAAGCTCTTCTAAGTTAGATAAAGTAAAAGTTGTATTTTATCACATTCATTTCCTACAACATTGCTATGTTAGTTGGGGCATTTTGTCTCATGTATCGTTAAATCGTACTCTAGTTTGAATGTTTGTGTCTGTATTTGACTGTTATTACACTATGAGGTGTGATCAGCTTATTAGTGAGCAGCATTTGCAACTTTAAAGATTTAAACACCATTTAAAGCGATGCATGCTACAGTATAGCCGTGAGATATCTGCATCACTGTGAGCTGTTATTTTCTTTTTGATGCTAGTAGCATAAGGAAGTAATGTTTCTTTTAAGGATCTTTGATGGAATTAATTAGTAACAGAGCATTATATCAAATGCTCTCATATGCATTCATTTCTTGAATGCAATTGTATTTGCATGCACAGGAAAATCGTTTTAATTAACAAAATGGTAATTGAGGCGTTCCCTCATTTTAGTTCTGCCAGGCTCAGTTCAGATGCAGCGTGGGTGGACAGAGCGGAGAAAGCTAGAAGGACGGCTGGGCCAGGAAGGGGAGGATGTGGGAGGATAGATGGGGGGGGGGGCATGAGGAGGCCATCAGCAAGCAAGTGGATTCATGACAAAACATTATTGTCAGAAAATCCAGCGCATCCCTCAGAGGCACTGCACTCTGAGAGAGAAGAAGAGAAGGACATCTTGAAGAAAGAATGTTCATTTGTGCACACTCTTTCTCTCTTCTCACACAGTATCTGTCCACTTAAACAATCATACAGTTTCTTGGAGGACGGAATGTTAACGAGCAGCGCCTCCAATGAGCCGGCCATCTTTGAAGTGTCTTCCTCTCACACACACACACACGAGTCAGCTATCTTTGAACTGTTAGCTCTGTGACTAATAGCATTGCATTGGGCCCTTTGTCTGGAGATTTCTGCAATACACACACACACATGCGCCCACTAACACCCCTACACCTGACACCTACACAGAGAGTAGAACATGATGGCACACACACATTTGCAAACATCACATGGATGTATGCAGAGCATGTGAGCACACGGGAGACTAACGGTCAGCTGAATGTTGGACTTGCTGCACACGTAGAGTGCAAATGAGTGGAAACACACATGCAGATTACCGATGCTGTGCTTAGGTGACCATTATTTAAACCTGAATGAAGCTAGAATAAATAGACACACACACATAGAGGTCAGTCGCTAAAGAAGCTGTGCTATTTGCTTTTTATTCTGTGTGAATAGTTCCAAGAAATATTTGCTGAAGCAACTCAATGGGCTACTCCTCCCCTGTGTCATCAAAAGCAAAAAAATATGTTAAAAACAAAACAGAAGCCTTCGGGCCAAATGTCTGTGTCTTGACATAATCTCTTCAGCCGACGTTATAAGTAGCCTCAGATTGATTTTCTATACAAGTCGCGTCAGACCAACAACTGTGTGGGCAGATAAAGCATCCCATCATTAGTCTCGTAGCAGCCTCCACTTTTTCATTCTTTCTCCTATTCTGTTTCTAAGAGGGAACCAGGATGATGGCTGGTGATATGCAGCAACACTGCAGTCTTCTTTGATTTGCTTTTGGCACTTTACTGGAGAGAAAAATATGAGATGGATGGAACTAAAGTGCTTCACTGCAGATCTTAACACAACAGTGGTTTCACTTATATGCAAATGTGAAAACAAATAACTAGCATTTAGTTTCTTTTTCCCTCTGCTTCAAGTGTTTCTCTCCCTCCCTTTCTTCATCTTGTAGCACTTCCGCGTGCATCTCCATCTTCCCCCTCTCACCCTGTCAGCAGCTTTTATCCAGTGGTGAAGTACAATGTGAGGTTTTATACATCCCACATGCTTTCAAGCCCTGTGGGGATACAACGACTGAGAAAGCATTCTGCAAGACTTGGAATAAAAACGTTACATGATGTTTGTTTCCCCTTCCTGTAGCCCCCTCAAACACAACTCTTAGCCTTTATTTCACCTGGTTAGTCCCATTCAGATTAAGGAACCATTTTACAAAGGAGACCTAGCTAAGAACAGCAACAATATAGAGTTTCAATTCCCTCAAAATCAAGGTCACATGGCATTGTTTGAGACATGGATCAAGTTTATGGACAGAACTTTTATTGATTTGCTGCAACAAGCCAGTGTTTGTTAATGTTTTCGTGAGCCATGTCCTGTAATTGATTTATACTCCAGACACAGCTTATGTTTCACTTAACGATAGCGTTCTCTCTTTCTGTTCAACCTGCTTCATCAAGCATTGTTGTCTTCGCACTTCTCAAGGCAGGTGGTTCAGAAAACGACGACGCAACTGTGGAAGAGAGAAAATCAAAAGAACATCCATATCTATTTCGGCTTAAAATATATAAATTCAAGCATGCTTTGAAGTTTAAAGTCAGTCTGTAGATTATTCCATGCAGAGAAACTAATCCTCTGCTCCCCTGTTCTCTCTTCTCCCCTCCTATCCCAGGTGCTGAAGAATCTCCCTCGCATTGAGGGTCGCCCCGGCGCCTCTCTGCCCCCCCTTGACTTCAAGTCCCTGGAGGAGGGTCTGCGGGCGGCACACAACGATGAGATCACCCCCGAGGATGTGATGTCAGCAGCCATGTACCCCAAAGTGTTCCAGGAGTTTAAGGAATTTACAGGTGAGTGGGCAGACTTGATAGTTATCACAGCCATTATCTTCAAGTTCATGTTTAATCTTTTAGTTATTGTTCATTTAATCAAATGAGATCTGTAATTATAAACCAGATTGGGTTCATGGCTTTTGGTCTGGGTCTCCCTGCTCATTCTAACCTGTACTCTGAGGTACTTCCTGAGGCTTGAAATAAGCAGCCAACCGGTATTAAGGAACATCCAAGGTTAGCCATCAGGTAGAGAATGTTTGATTTGTATTTTTACTTTCAGGAGAACAATCAGATGCTTCAGATTCAGGCGAGAGTGCAGTTGAGCCCCGAAGCCGTAACAACACCTGTCTCAGGTGGTGCATTTGAATAATGCACATAAGAAACCAGAACAGCAAGAAGTGGTGCTGGGGGGGGAAATCAGCATAACCAGTAACAGCATTTTTAAGCAGGTGTGAAGTACACGCAGCCAGCAGCAGCAGGAGGCAGAGAAGCCTGTGATGTTGAAAGTTTAATAGAAATCCTTCTTCAGTGGAATTTCAAACTTTACTGGAAGTTGTTTAAAGCCGTAACAGTTCCATTCAGCTGCCTGGATTAAAACCAGCTTAATTGTTGCTTCAAGGAGTCAGGAAATGTCAGCGTTACGTTACCTTTTAATGAGACGCTTTAATAGTGCAGATGTTCCTGAACTGCTCGGCTTCAGTCTGAACATAGCCTTGAAACAAATCTGAACCTCTAAAGTATTTTCTAATACCGTTTCAAAATATAATTATAAGAAACTAAACCCTTGGGAATTCAGTGATTTCCTGTAGAGCTAATGTCACTATCGTGTACAGTGTAAAAGAACAGACATGGAGTTTGAGACGTCGTTAACCAATAAAGATTTTCATTTTGGGTCTTTGTCTTCTTTGCCGCTGATGTCAAGTTTGTCTCTGTTTCTATTCCCCAGCTAACTTTGGTCCAGTGGACTGTCTCAACACCCGGCTGTTCCTGGACGGACCCAAGATCGCTGAGGAGTTTGAGGTACACAACGCATACTACACACTGAGTACCATTTTTAGACCAGAACTTCAGGGGGGCACTCTGCACGATTTACAGATTAAGACCATTTCCCAACAGATGGCAGATATGGAAAGACATGAGAATCCACTAGACAGCAAGCCTCTAATGAAAAGCTGTTGCATTAAGTGTTTTGGGACCTGACCTTTATATTGTGAACTAAAGGTCAGGATATCTTTGCTTTTGCAGAACATATTTAGCCCTTTTTCTTTAAAAAAAACATGAACAGATGCCATGCTAACATTAACCATTAAATAATATTGCTTGAGAAGAGTGAACGCTTTTGATTTGTGTTCAAAAGACCACAGACCAGAACTAAAGCAGAATAAATGCACTTTTATAGCGCATTTGTAGTTATGCAAGCTAAAAATAAAGATAAAGAAAATGTACAAATGACAGCAAAATACCTTCAAAATCACAATCAAACGTGAACAAGTGTGTACTCATTTATTGTATTAATTGCGTTGAAGGTCCCCTTAAGAAAAGTCATCATCGGCAGGATATGATTTGATCAGTGCAGAGTCACAGTTGATGACACATTGGGGAGTACGGAGATATTAGCACTTTATTAAGGGGACACAAACTGTGTTTCTGATCCCTCCAGCCACTGGTTGGCCTCTCCCCACAGACATGACGGATTGATTTTGTCGTGAGATGTTGGAGAGCGGCCGCTGAAAGGCACTGAGGGCCCATACTGTACTATTAGAGACCAAAATATGACCTCACTTATCTCTGAAGCTTGTGCCATTAGTTTGTTGTCCAACAGGGAGGCGGCTGTATCAAATAAAGGAGTTACATTTGCTTTGCACTCAAATAAATCAGGGGCACAGGAATGTATCAGTCTCTTAATGAGAGGATGTGAATTAGCTGTTAAATGTTCCCGGGGATATTGGCATCTAAGTAGGACAATTATTCAGAATCAGCAGGTTGGAAATAATGTTCAACATACGTGAAGATGCAGTCAGCAGAAATACTCCACGATGTCGGCTGTCCTAGAAAGCTTCTCTCAGTCCAGGAGCGAGCAGGGTGGAAGACGCAGTTTTTATCAGATAGCTCAGACAGAGGTTGAGGAGAATGACAGAAGTTACAACTTTGACGAACAAAACTCAAACTAAAGTGATTGTTCAGGTCCAGATTGAAGAGTGTGTAGAGACTAGTGAAGGTAACCTTTGTGACAGATGTCAAAATCCAGACGTTCGATCAAAGAGACAATTTGTTTTTCTGCAGGAAGAGTCTGTCACTCAACATGTGATCAGAAAGGAAATATGCCTTTGTACTCTATTCAAAACTTTTTCCTAACTTTTCTATTCGGTAATGGGGAGGAAAACTACACACATGCAGAGTTGGAAAATCTAAAGGTTTTTTCGAAGCAACACTTCAGTTGTAAGGACACTGAATATAAATATTATTCCATTAGAATTTAGCTCAGCAGTAAACTCAAAACTGTTGTTCCACAATATTTGGCTGAGAAAAACAGTGTAAAAGCTGTTAATAGGTTTCTAACTCTAAGTGTTTGAGACTGTGATCAGATGGCTGCGGTGTGAAGCCATCAAACAGGAAGTGAGACGAGTCAGAGAGGATGGCTGTGACATTTTGTGTGGCGATCATCCCCTCTTTAGCTCGCTCTGTGGGTCAGTCCATGATAACCTCCACACAGAGGAGGCTACAGTTTATCATGGAGGTCGGTGTTGGTGAGATTCAGAGTGCGTGTGATGTACGGAGTGCAGCTTTTATGAATTAACGCTTATCGACTGCAGCTCTGTAGCAAACCTGCCTCTACGATTCCTAAAGTGGGCAGCATGATGTTGTTGATTGGTATTAATTATGAACTCTGTGCATGTTAAGCAAAAAGTAGTGGAGCTATCATTCTGAGTTGTTACTGAAATTCCTGGACTTGGTTTGGTGTGAGCTTAGGGATAACAAAGTTAGGAGAATATACAAAATACAAATGTATCCTCGCAGAGCTATTTATTTATCTTGATTGGTTATGGTCTGTGTTATCAGAAGGTTGTAGTTTTTGGATTAAGACATTTTTTGTTGATTTTTGAAGTATTTGGCGCATTGAGCACAAGAAGCTGAATAAATAGCACCCATTTCCCCTCAGTTTACATTTGTTCCATATTTTATTTTCATAGCTTAAATCAAAACATTTGTTATTCATTGATAAAAAGAAAACCCATGACAACACTAAAAGTAATTTTAATTAGTTCCAACCATCTGTGACTTGCATCTCTCTGGAAAGTAGCTGCGTGCACATCTCCAGATCCGCTTCATCAGATGGACAGTAGTGGCAAGAAGCAAAGTAACAAAACAGCGCAGCTCACGGATAAATGGTCTTCTATTGATTGTGGGCAAAACCACAACCAATTGCCCACAATAAAAAAGACTGAAGACCTTGTATTTTCCCAAGGCTCCTAAGCTTCACTTCACACTCCTCCGTTTACCAGTATTATTTATAATCCTACTAAGACTAACACAACCTCATTTATTATAAATTAGATTGTTTCTTACAATATGTTCTCTCATTATGCGTAGGGCAAAGATTGAACAGAGTGATTTGCAGCGGCTCGAGGCCTCACGTTTGATTACAGTTTCATTTCACTGCAGCACGACGGATTCAGGCGTGTGTTAATTGATTTTATATTAGGCGGGACATGTAGAGCCCTGCTCTGCTGCCGCATTACTATCAAAGAATCAGGATCTGCATTGATTGCGCTAATCTGGTATCGACCTCAAAGAAGGGCAGACCCCCCGTCCTCCTTTGTTGTAAACCCCCCCCAGGGTGTGTGTGATTAGAGACAATAGAGAGGAATGGTCAGACCACCGACCACTGATTTATAATAAGTCTTTTAATATTTAAATTAGTCTTTTTTTTAGCAGCTGTGGCAGATATTTGTTTGAAGCCACAGGTTGGTTTGTGCTGCTATGCTTCCTTTTCAAATTCTTACAACACTAAATAGTAAGGTTGAATAAATTGTTCTTGATTTCTAGTTCAACACAAATTGCTCAACAAGCCACAAAACCCTTTACAGCTACAGTTGAAGTGGAGCATAAATACTCCTGATTTTCCAGCTGGCCAATGGCAGTATTGGCTTCCCTTGCTGTAAAAATTGATTTTCTAACGGTGTCTTATTTAAAGTGAGACACCTTGTTTTTAACCCGACTCACTTTGCGTGTTCTCCCCTCTAAATAGAAAACCTGTCATTCAGAAATTCCCCAAAAGCAAGACTGTTGTTTTGTTTTTCCAGCCTCACTTCTCACCTCCCATCGCTGCTTTTTATCTCACTCCGTCACAACTGTTGTCACTTTCAGACGCCAGGACTTCTGCTCAGAATCCTTCACAGCCCAGGAACAAACATGATGGCGACTCCCTCCAGATCAGGTCCGATTAGCAGCACCAGACTGGAGAGGGAGGAAAACATGTCAGAGAAAATCAGCCGTCACTTGTAGCGTTTCTGTTGGTTGTCTGCTTCCTTTTGAAGTGCAGAATTCCTCAAGGGCAAAAACAAGCTCCTATATTAATATAAAAATACATGCAGTAATAACTTTATTAATACAGCACTTTGAAGGAATGCAGTGAGGCATTTAAAATCTGAAATAAATCACAAATAAAATACATAAAAATAACATAAGATAAAAACAATAATACAAAATAAATAAGGCATATTGTAAGTAGAAAGTGCCAACATCTGATATTTAGTATTTCAATTTTTTTTTTTTTTTTTTAAACTGATGCTTATATAAGTACTTGGTTCATATGTGCTTCTCCATTTATGATAGATACATTTATGAAGACACATAACTGGACATTGATCAAAAAAATGATTTAAAAGTGCTTTGTAGTACATTTGGTATAGACTGTGTCGGATTATGTGTCTGCCTACAAGTAGAACACACCATGTGATGCATGTGGCAACGTTGTGTCTTCCGGTTCTATATTTTTGTCCCTGTTATTTCTCGTTAAATATTAATGATCTCACACTTGTAGATATATATCACTGGGGAACATTGAGTTGCCCTTAGTCTTGATGTGTGGAGTTTTTGTTGATATGATGTACTGTGTGCATACCCAGGACAGCTTGATGTGAGCGTTATAAAATGTTAGAGGCTGAGAGTCTGTAGGCTGTGTGAATGGAAGCAAAGCATTGTTGTTAAATACACAGACAGGTATGTGGGTGTTGAGAAGGGCCAGAGTGACCAACACAATCGGTAATTATTCAGTGCTTATTAGAAGCATTTTTCTTTGCTCTCATGCGTGGTGACCTTTGCAATTTTGACGGCTTTGTTGAAAAACATTTGGCATTGTTAAAACCGAGAGAAGAGCCCTGAGGAAAGTAAATATCTCTGTGCTACGAAAACAGTTTGTCAGTTTAAATACAGGAGAGTATCATGCACTCCATACTCCTCCTACTGCTGAGTGCACGTGTACATGTCAGCATTGTTGGTGTAATCTCCCACACATACCTGTACAAAGATAAACAGAAAGTGTAATGCAGCCTAACAGGGTTTTGTAGAGGATGAATGTGCAACATGGCAGCTGAACGGTCTGCATCACAAAATGAATGGGTTTCCGAAGAGACACAAGCCTTTGTTGGTGTTTGTGATAAATCCGCAGTGACAGCCACAGTCCATGACAGATGACTCCGCTGAACATTACCATCCGCACGGTTACCTGTGTATTTGGAACAAAAATAGTTTTGAGCTCTTGGCGGCTACCGTGTGAAGCACGCAGTGGAAATCTTTATCGAAACAGATTTAAGCACCAAATCTTTTCTGAGCGCTGAGCTAGACCTAAAGCCCTGAGTTGTTGATGTTGTGGGAAGTAGATATAAAAGCTTTCACAGTAATCATTTGGCATAGGTAAGCACTTCATTTCAAGCCTGTTGCAAATCCACTGCGAGAGCCTTATCAGAACTCCGAGCCAGGAAGATTTCTGTTAGTACTGAGTGAGTGTGTGGGTAAACACAACGGCTACCGCTTTGTAATGTAGTATAATCACATCAAAGAATAATTCTTCTCCAAAATTACCCCTTATAAATCAATTACCATTACATCTTGAGAAATAAAGGGGTCTGAGTTTAACAACAGAAAAACTATATGAAAACATCTCTTTACAAAATCTCACACAGTGCAGTATAATCCAAATCTAATTGAGTGAGTCCTATGCTCACGACTTCAGCATTAAGAGTACTACCCCGTTTACTTTAATTCATTAAGACTTTTCTGCTTTTTTTCTTCATAAATGTATTGTAACCAGGGGTTAGACATTGATATACAGTTGAACATTTATATTCCATAATGTCTGTAATGATTCTGAGTTGTATATCACCACATTCGCCCATGTATGAATAGCCTTTTAAAGGATCAAAAAACACTTTGTAACTAAAGTATCTGAAGGCCATTTGAGGGCATACACATATGAATGGATGACAGGTCCACCCATCGCTGTCCTTCACCCCCCCCCCACAAACACACACACACACACACACACACACACACACACACACACACACACACACACACACACACACACACACACACACACACACACACACACACACACACACACACACACACACACACACACACACACACACACACAGAGGAGGTGAAAAAGACATCAACCTAACTGGCATGTGCTGATGACTCAGTGTTCTATTAATCATGTTTGATGGAAATATAAACAGATTTTCACAAACATGGAGCCAGTCATACACGCCCTGTCAGTGCTAATGTGCACCGACACCAACACATGGCGCTGATCTCATTACTCTGTCACTGACAACACGCGTCATTAATAAAGTCAGATCGGAGGCATACTGGGAAACTTGTTTCAGATGTTTTATAGCAGCAAAAGGGTAAGCAGTTAAATATGACATGAAAAGCTCTGCGCTGGAGGGGAACAATCTGCGAAGAAATGTGAGGGCTATATAGATATGAAACATACATAATGCACAAGAGATTACATCACAAGTATGGTACTAAAAGCAAATGGGAGGAATATGGCTGCTTTGATAGAACTGTATATCTTGAATCCTTTTAGTGCCGTTTGTTTGAACGTTAAAAGGTGAGGTTAGGAAGTGACACATCGGCAAGTGAACAATAATCATGACTTGAATTTGACCTTGAGTCTGTGAGTTATATCTCCACTCCATTATTTGTTAAATGACTGCTTGAATGTTTTGGTCAAAAATCTTAATGAGCCGTGGAATTGGACCAAAAATGAAAGACGTAATTAAAGCCGACTGCCGGGGGAAGAGGTTGTCCTAATGCAACTCTGCTCTCATAAATATCAACACAGTGCTCTGAAGTCGTGTTTTAGCTCCGTTTAAAACTAGCTTACATACAAACGGTTTCAACTTAGGCAAAAACACCCTTAAAAGGTTCATAAATGTGCAACTTTTCAAAGAGGTGCATACTGTATATTTCATGTGAGCGGTTGTGAGGAGATGTAATGTTGTCGTTGAAGACTGTCGGAAGGGAAGGCAGTTGTGTTTTTTCGGCTGCCAGGAGATTGACAAAACCGTATAAGTTGGAGAGAAACAGAGAGATGAAGATTGAGTTCCAGAGAGAGAGCAAAGGCATGCAAAGAAAGCTTTTGTTACCAGATACTGAGTGAGGAAAATACATGAAGAGTCAGAGCTTCCACAGGAAGAGAGATGCAGAATGAAATTGAGATCAATACATACCTGCAGTAGAGTGTATTTCCGTCTTCGCACTGAGACTTAGTTTGGAATATCAATGGAGACTCGGCAGCAGAGATGCCAATGTGAGAAACCAAAAAGATGAGAGGGGAAGGGTCGACTGACACAGACGGATAAAAGAGAAGAGAGGCAGAAGGGGCCAGATGAGGGAAATTAACAACGGCATGGCAAACAGTGTGGCTCCAGAAATGGGGAGAAAAATAACAATACACAACGGAAAGCTGACACACACGGGAGGACTGACAAAGAGAGAGATTGAAAGCCTGACAGGGAAAGTTGGACAAATGGAAGGTTGGGAAAAAAATGAGTTTCCGACCAGTGAGATGAGATATTTGAGCAGAGGCGTGAGATAAATGAAGAAGTACAGTGGCTGGTGTCAAAGGAAAAACACAGCAGTGACCAGAATGATATGAGGAGGGAGGAGAGAGGGCTTAGTCTTGAGACTAACTAACAGAGATTACAGGTGGACTCAACTCTGGAGAAGTGTCTTGTCTCGTTGTCTCTCAGGTTGTCATTGTCATACTCTGTTTGATGTAGCACATTTATCATGAAGTGGGTAATTAGCAGTTTTTTAAACCAGGCTTCAAAAATGTTGATTTCTTCTGTAAAGTTGGGCATCTTATGTATTAGTTTATAGAGATTGTTCCCTATAGAGCCAACCAATAAGGCGCCATTCGAGGAACTGCAGCTTTGGCATAGGTTATCCATATTTCAACATCAGGACTAAGACTAGATAATGTTGCCTTTACCGAGGCCAGTGTTGCATTCTTTGCTCCTTTGATGGTCCGTTTAACAGGTTCTGTTTCCGAGTTGTTGTCCACCTGTCAGAAACTACATTTTCTGATTATTCAGATGCCACATGAATGCAGCACACATGCGTAGTGTAGTCAGTTCAGTTATTGATAGTTGACATGTTTCATGTCCAATATTTGGTCTCTTTGAACACAATGTTTTGGTCACATAACAAAGGAAAAGGCACATTTTGTATTATAAAATGAATGATGGTTGGATTCCATTTAGCTTTTTCTTCAGTTTCCTTGCGTTGAGTTCATGTCTCTGAATTTAAGCAGTGCTCATATGAACACCTTAGTCACAATTACAACTGAGAAACTCAAAAATGTTTAATAGATTGAGATAAATTAGATTTCTGGACAGTTAAACACAAATGGGTAGCTGATAAGAGCAGATAGCCGCACATGCTATGCAGTTTATTAGTGTAAAATACAGAGATAAGATGCCATTAAACATGTATTTAATGAGGTACTCATCAATCTGTCTATGGCGCGTTTCCACTACACGGCCTCGCTCGGCCCCGCTCGGTATGGCTGGGCCTCGTTAGGACTGGCTCACTTTATGGCGCATTTCCATTACAGTTTAGGAACTGGGGTAGTATCTATAGTAACGCAGTGTAGGCGGAGCCGTGACGTGATCTTCAGAGGACCCCAGAAAAACAACACAGCCGTTAGCTGTTAGCACTCAGAGCTCACAGCTCCTCATATATGTTCAGAAACTAGACAAAAGTTAAACAAGTACAAACCACAGACTGCCTGTGTCATGGTGAATACAGTCGCTGCTTTATTTATGTCTGTATAGGCCGTTGTTGTGAGTGTGGACGGTCGGAGCATATACTGCGTTAGCTTAGCCAATCTCCATTTAGAAAACAAGCATTTTAAAAGGTTTTTCGCCTGCCGTCTGTCTGCAGACTTGACAAAGCATTAATTCATGGTTTTTACTAACCGGTATCAGTATGTTGTTACTTCGGCATCATTTTGAAACGTGTATTACAATTAAATCACGGTCAAATATGTTCATCTTGTTGTAGTTGTAGCCCCCTTGCCAGCGATTCTCTCTCTAGTTTAGCATACTCAGCCCGACTCAGCCTCGTTGTCTCTGGCCCTAGACCCACGATTTTATGAGGCCAGAAAAACTGTGAATTAGGACCCGCCGGCCGGTACTAGGCCAAGTGGAAACGCAACCAAAAACGGGCCACTGACGTCACAACCCTCTTAAACCGTGCTCCGCGCTGTAGTGGAAACGCGCCATAATGCTGCGTTCACACCGGACGCGATGCGACTATTCGCTTCGCTCTAATCGCTCCTATCGCATCGCTCTAAACGCTGGAGGTTCACCGCGGCTGCCAGCTGTGTTTACTCGCATCATTCAAACAAGACGCGCTGGCTCGGGAGCTACAACTACAACAAATGAACATATTTTACCGTGATTAAATTGTAATACACGTTTCTAAATGATGCCGAAGTAACAACATACTGATACCGGTTAGTAACAACCATGAATTAAGGCTTTGACAAGTCTGCAGACAAGACGGCAGGCAATTGACTGCATTTGACTTTACATGTAATCGCACCGCCCCCAAACAGCGCATCGCGTCCGGTGTGAACGCGTCTCTTCTCCTTCACCAAGAGCATGCTGTGCAACACTCCAGCTCAGCGTGAGAGAAACATTGTGCTCAACGCGCTCCACTAACTTGACTTTTTATTTTCACCAAGCTCTGCATCTCATTGACTGCTTCAGCTGGACTCGTGTGCTAGGCACTCATGTGTTCATCTTAATATTCTAACATAATCTTATTTGTGTCCCACCTCTCTCTTCTTCCTGGCTCTCTCTCTCTCTTCCTCAGGTGGAGCTGGAGAGAGGAAAGATCCTGCACATCAAGGCCCTCGCTCTGGGGGACCTGAACAAGGCGGGCCAGAGGGAAGTCTTCTTTGAACTGAACGGACAGCTGAGATCTGTGCTGGTGAAAGACACTGTCGCCATGAAGGTACACAGAAGGGGGGGCATAGGTTGTTGGCTGGATGGATGATGGATGAGGTAGAGCTGCGATATGTATCTCTGCAGGTGAATAATGAATGGATGGAAAAGGGGAAAGTGAAAGAAATAATATCCTCTACTAGAATCCTGACAGTGCACAGGTGTTTTTATTCATAGAGACCAATGAGCAGTGTAGAGGATGCAGAGCACAGAGGTCTGTTCCAATGTCCCGTTAGTCGGTGGCTGGCTGAATGACTGGACAGATGGATGCATGAAGTCTCTGTTTGTCCTCCACCCAGGAAATGAAGTTCCATCCCAAGGCTCAGAAGTCTATCAAGGGTCAGGTGGGAGCGCCCATGCCTGGAAAAGTGGTGGAGGTTAAAGTGGAAGTTGGATCCAAGGTGAGTCGATCATCACATCTGATGACTTTAACTCTAAAAGTGCAGACAGTTTGCTTTTTATTCCATCTCCATAAGAGTTGCTTATTTAAATCCTCATTTTGAAAAATCAAACTGTATTTGATGAAGGTCTTGTTATTGGTCACCTTCTTATCCAACATTAAGAGGGTTTGGAATTAAAAAGAGGTTTTTATTTAGAATATATATTATATATAAATAACCTGTTTATATATCTAACACAAATATGTCTACTGGTTATCAGTACAGCTACAAAAGCTGCTCATTGTTGGTTTCCTCTCTTTGGACAATTCATCAGATGCTTTTTTATGTAAAAAGGCAAATCGTCAGAAATTATACAATCTGAAAAAGTGAAAGTCCGATTTGAATCATAAACTGTCCGATCCATATATGTGCTGCAACTCGTGAATATTTTCATTATAATTTAGCCCATTATGTTCTAGGTTAATCATGTGGTCTATAAATGGTTTGTGAGTAGTAAAACATTTCCACATCTTGTTAGTCCAAAACTTAAAGATATTAACTGATATGATATTAAACAGAAAATGCAGGAAATCTCCATATTAGAGAGGCTGCTACTTTGAATGATTAATCACTGAAATTAACATTTTTGAACCAGGTGAACCAATGATTGCAGCTCTACACCTATTTAAATGATCATTTAAATCTAGCTTGTGATGCTTACAACACTTCAAGATGAACATCTTAACACCTTAACTACATGCATGGACCAGCTTATTTGTTTGTGCTTTTAGTGAACCTCACAGTAAATTGTATTGGTTGTATGTAAGCTAGTAGGCTAATGTGCTAAAGTCCCACTTGCATATGTTATTCTAAAGTGTGTAGCCTTCATGTCCTAAGCTTGAGTCTGGTTTACCTCTGTCTACAGTGCTGTTCAGTGATCTGTGCATTGTCATGTGTTCTTAATGCTGCTCTGACCTGTGTTTGTGATAAGGTGGAGAAGGGGCAGCCGCTGTGTGTCCTCTCAGCCATGAAGATGGAGACCGTGGTCAACTCCCCGTTAGCCGGCACCATCAAGGCGGTGCATGTCATGGCCGACGCCTCGCTGGAGGGAGGCGACCTGATACTGGAGATTGAGGAGTAGAGGGAGGTATTTAGAGTCTCTGATCCTGGGAATGATGATGGGGGGGGGGGGGGGGGGGGGTAAAAACACTTATCTGTTGCAGTACTGACATTTGTACATATTCTGGGGTTACAACATGAAGCAAAGCTGCACACAACGGTTGGTGTAAATAGTAGATTATCTGACAATCCTTATATATTCATTTGATGGGGATTCCTTAATGAACTGTACCACTAATCGAACTATATTATCTCTTAGGCGTGGTGATTAGTATCTCAGTACATCTCTTAATGTCCTGTCAACTTGTGGAGAATAACATATCTTAGAAAGACCTATATTTGAATTGTTATACATTCCATTACTTGCTAATCTCACTAGTCTTAAATGTGATGTACTACAAACTGAGCTAATCATGTGTAACACTAACAGGGTTCTAACATCTACTTGCAATTAAATGCCACAATTTCCATTTCTATGCTGTTGATGTTGCTTAATATATTCAAAGTGTGTAGACAAAACTTTATATTAATGTTTTTCTTGGGTTAGGACAAGAAGTATGTATGCTCGTCTTGGCATTACTGATCTCTGAGCGCCACAGCGGAGTGTAGCATTAAGACTCACTGACTTTTGTAGGGTAAACATGTAATACTGTTCTTTAGAAAGACAATGAAGCACACATCTTACGTCTTGCACAGAAGGAAAATAAATAGAAATCTGAACACAATGAGAGAAGCACAACAGATCAAAGCACTGTTTCAGGGCCAGATGTTTAAACAGAGTATTTTGCTATCAGAAATAGTAGATGGTTTATTTTTGGAAAGATCTTCGCTGGTGATGGAAATGTTTCCTCATTCACACCTGTCTTTAAATCCCATGAAGCTGTCGGCCATTTTGGAGACAAGCTAACAGGATTAGTCATGTGATTTTTTTGAAGTATATCTAAAACCAATTGAGCTCTATCTGCTGGATTTTAAAAGTGTTAAATCACAGGCTGCTAAGGTAACTTTCTTTTAGGGTCTCTGATTTCAAAAAGCTTTCACAGCGCAGCTCGTCCATCTTTTAATAACCAGGAGAGATTATGGTGAACGGTCTTCTGACTGCAAGGGGATTTTAAGGCTAGGTGAAAATGGGATTACATGGTGGTGTAATGGAGGCGTGTGGTGGTATTTTCTGAGGCTCTGCTGATGAATTTTTAAATTAATTCTCTGTCAAATGATGTGAAATTAGCCGGACTAATAACAGACTCTGGAGACTACCAGTAGCAGCGCTCGGTTTTATATTTCTGATGTGTGTGTTTGCATAAATGAGTGTGGCTGTGTGCAAGCAAATTCACAAGTCAACCAGTCCTTAAAATAATGCACCTCCAGAATTAAAAACCTCCTAAAAGCAATTCAATATTCATAACACGCACTGATGCAAACATATTTGTACTAACACTCCCAGCCCTTCTGCTGCCTAGATACAAACAAACACACCTCTCAGTGGTGTTGCGCGGATGTCAAACATTACAGTTCCTGAATTTAACAGACAAGATTCAACCGATTCCACAAATGCCAGACTTCTCAATTATTTGGATGTCTTGAACCTGGAAGTGATCAATGCTAAATTGAATATTTCGCCACCCTGACCAGTGAAAGGAGATAAGTAATTAGCTCACATAGTAATTACAGTAGGAAAGGAAGTGTCACATCTCCCTGTTATGCAGTGAACGAGCAGAAAAGATATGACAGCCTACTTTCCCCAAACATCAATACTGCTTTGATGGACTAATCAAAGCACACAATTCAAGTTGAACTGTTCTGACATTTTTGCTCCATTACCTCTGAGAATGAGACCCCCTTCTGAACTATGCATCTATACTAAGCAGTGACACTATGTAAGTACGACACTGAAAAGTCCTCTCGCTCTCCCAAGCCCCCTGTACTCCTGGCTTTATCAATCTGTATTAACTACTGGGATTGTATGAAAGAGTGTTTTCAACCAGCTGTTGCAAAATAATGTTAAGTTCCCTCACTTGTCCATATATCCAACCACCTTTTCATCTTGTCTTCCTTCTCAACAGTGTAAATGGTGGTTTCCTCTAATGCAATAATGTACTGAATCACAGTGTTTCTCTGTCTTAGCCTGCTGTGATTGTAACAACCATGTTTCTGACAAAGTACTGCTGATATTGTCTGGGGTTAAAAAAAAGAATAAATGGGAGAAAAAAAAGCACATAACTGGAAATATTCTTTGTTTCAGAGAGAGATCCACGTCATTAAACTGTTTTTGACGTCAATTGTTGCAGAGAGTATGAAAAGAGGTGAAATGTATCTTTGCTTGACTAAAGTAAACGCATTCACTCTCAGTTTAGCAGATGTGACTGCCTGGAGATACAAAATGTCTCCATTGAATTTCCCTCAAAATATTCATGACAGAGTTTTTTGAATTTCTTTACTAGATTATACTACTTGTGAATTTGACATTTTAGGTTATTCATTTCCATCTGCTGTAGCAGTTTAAATATTAGTCCTAGGAAAGACCAAAAAGGGAAACACAAAGAAAGTAATTGCTTTGTTCTATCTATACTTCAAAAATAAAGTTAAAGATGTATCTGTGTGTATTGCATGTTCTACACAGTGGGCAAAAGAAAGGCCGCAGGCCGGCTTCACTGGAAGCTTTCGAAGAACAAATGACTCCCTCACAACCTTGTATGATCAACTAATGGCTCATGCTGGCCGGAGTCCAATATGTCTCATTGCTCGAGTCCTGTAATTCATATCTCTTTCAGAATAATGTGTCCAACTAGTATTAATGATTTCAACAACAAATGTTGAAGTGAAAGTACCTTTGTCACAGACCAAAGTGTATCACATTTACTACCATAATGCTACAGAGGTAGATGCTGGACTGTTGGAGCCAGTGTGATTTTATTTGACCTCCGCATGTCGCATGCCATCTCCTCCATCCAACCTCTTGCACATCAGAACTCAGTTGGTATCTGGGAAAGCACCCAACAAAGAAAGTCCATAGAAACAACGTATACACTTAATGGCTGGACCATGACAATCATTTCTAGTATAGTGCAAAACAGAAAATGTGATATTCAAATTGAACATTTTCGTACTATACTTTGTCGGGTATTCTTGCATTTATTTAGCTTCTTTTTTTTACGTACTCTGCTATGCGTTTTACGCATTTATTTGGCACACTATACTGTGCCCTTTTTTGTCAGGTTTTTGACACATTTTAGACTTACTATACTACATCTAGTTTTTTGCATATTCTCAGCACCATATACTATCTAGTTTTATTTTTTTCTTGCATATTGTCAGCATCCTAAACTGTGTTTATGCAAAAAAAAGCCACAGTATAGTATGTCGAAATTATACCATAAAACGACTTAGTATAGATTATTGAACATTTGAAAAACAACTGCATATTATACTATGTCGAAAATATGAAAAAAATGCCATAGTATGTCGTAAATATGCAAAGAAAAACACATAGTATAAAATGTCGAAAATATGCAAAAAATGTCCAAGTATATTTTGTTGAAAATATGCTAAAAAAAGTCATAGTATGTCCAAAATATGCCTTAAAACAACATATGTTGGGGAAAAAACTCAATGTACTCTTCCATTATCAGAGTAGCACATGATAACAAAGGCCCAACTGTAACTGCGTACATGACAGGATGTATGATTAGCTAGAAGAGCATCAGGACTGTTTTAGGCATATGATAGCTATGTGACAACGATTAACATGATGGTTCAGCCTCTATGGAGATAGACATACGACAGGCATGATCATTTCTGACGTGGGCCTCAGCTAAACAAAACATTGTATACTGCTCTGAACCGGTATTCCTGCATCTTGTGACTGTGTAACACCATCGAAAATATTCTTCAGGTCCTGTGTGGATCTAGTCAAATGCATCACCGTCCTCCTAAGCCATGTACGATATGCTTATCAACACTTTGTAAACTGCAAGAGACCGGGGATAGAAACTGTTGATATGGTGCCAGGATATAAGAATAGCTCTTTGTCATCATATTAAATCACAGGGGTAACAACGGATGTAACGACCCGCTTGTTATCTGACTTGAGTGACTGCTTTGATTAATAACAATAGAATCACATTTGCATATGTGAATAAAGAAGATGGCAGTCTGCCTGCTATGACCTTGATTGGTTTGCTGATTTCACCTCAAATAAACAGAATGGGGTCTTCATTCACAAAATTCAACAGAGGATTTTAGCAGAGTGGAAACCTGCCTTTTTAAAAATTCTAATTGAGATTATCAAGGCTATTTCCACCAAACACCCAGCTGTCTTTTCCTCAGTTTATGTGTATAGGTTACATCTGCATCTGCCCATCTGTTCTATGCAAAATAATGCTTATGTTGGTACCCTTGCTTCAATAACTATTTAAAAGTCAAGTGAAACATTAAATCCAAGCATATATTTCCTGTTGCTTTCACACGCTGTCACGCTGTGTGCACGATGCAGTGATTGGTGTGCATTAGACACAACAACTACAGAGTGTGAAGTCCTCTCTAATGAGAGGACTTGTGTTTCACAGCAATATGTATGCTGTAATAACTAGGACATAAATGGACAGCTACCTACTGTATTTACAAAAACAGATTAGTCCCATGGCCAAATATATTATATTTAGAGAACTTTTGTGATTATTGTAAAGTGACAGTCACTTGAGAAAAAGAAACAAAGAAAATCAATGATGTATCGTTAAAGCCTCACAAAAAAAGTGAAATGTATTTTTAGACATCCAGGTCTGCTGTCAACAGATATTATCACTATTGATTGATTTTTTTTTCTTTGTAATGATTACAGATACATCTAGATAATACAATTAATGTAGAATTGTATTTCTCAGTCAATCAATTGTTAATCTGGGGTAAAATGTCACAAAAACATTTCCTAAAATGAAGTTGATGTCATCAAATGGCTCAATTTGTCCTACCCTTAATACTGTATATTCAGTACACTATTAGAAAAGAAACATTTAACAATTGACTCATTTGAAGTACTGTTTGCAAAAGAAACGTCTGCAACTATTTTAAATGACAGTCAACTAATGTATTATTTGAATGATCGTTGCAGTTAAAGTTACAGTGCGTGCTTCAGATAATTGAGCGACAGAAGTAGTCAGCCTCCAGTCAGCTCCTCGGAGAGAAGCTCCCAGCATTGGGCCACCTCCAGATGAAGCCATGACTTGGAGCTCTGCCTCTTTCAGCCGATTCTTTCCTCATAAAGGTCAAGGACCTGCTTTGATGGGGTCTCAACATCACAGCAGAAGCAAACGTTTTCATTTCCCAGCGTCAGGAGGTCATGGACCAAATGTCTTATTTGGATCTCAGACTGAGACTGTTTCATAAGTCCTGCCTCTAATCCATAAATGAGAGCCAGAGTTGAAATCCCCTGTGTGGCTTTGCTCATCCCTTTGTCTGCCTTACGAAGGTCCAAATGAACAGCAAATAGCCACTCGGGAGAGCTGGGAAGTCTTGGCAGCTCTGCGTGTCAAAACTGAAGAAGCTCTGTGGGATTTTGGCAGAGCTGTGCGGCAGCAGCTGGCAGAGGAGCAACTATTTCTAACCCAGGTCTGAGTCTCTTACACGGGCCACAGGGGTCCGCTGCTTTGCTGAGGGGCGGCTCTGATACCTTTGCTGCTGTTCCATAATCCCTTCAGTGCTTGCTTTGCTGCTTTCTTTGCTGTAATCCTCCTGCCTGAATAAAGAGAGAACAGACGAGAAGGAGGGGCTACAGCGTCTCCGCCAGACGGGACGTCCCCCTGTCAGGATCCTTGTCAATCAGCACCATCAGGATCCTCTCCATAAAACACAATTCAATTCTTTTTCTGCACAAAAAAGATATCAAACTAAATAGCAAAACATTTAATTGTATGTCAAAAACACAGCGAAACAGCATCGAACACACGTTACAAATAAGGTCTCTTAAGCACTAGCTCGCCACGTGTGGTCCACTGCTATCTCCATTACTTCTTACTCAAAGATTGCTTCTGAGAGTCCAGGGGCTTGCAGGGCAGTTACACCCCCCGCCCTGCATGTCCTCACTGAAACACCTGACAGCATATCTAGCCCACATTTGGCTCTGCTCAATTTCGTAATGTGGTGATCTGATAACTCACCAGGGCACATGTCAGTCATGAGCAAGGTTACATACCAAGAAACAGGAAACTATCCGCCTGTACTCTCCTCCTTGTGTCTTACCTTCATCATTAAACACCATCGAGCAGAGAGGCGCATCACTAAGCCATAGGCCACCTCACCAGTGATGAGGTAACAAGGCACACATCAATTAACTGGACAGATCAATGCTGCATGCTGACAAATTCACTCTCTAATGAATGCATCGAATGGTAGCCAGCAGCTAGCCTGGACATGGATCATTTCCTGTCACCCCTTCAGACTCAATCTCAAGCCCTTTTGATGGTACAGCTTCTGACACTCACACACTGTGTGGGTGTCGGCATGAGAGGAAAGACTCAGGTTGTGTTCATACTGCATGTGTGTATGTGATGAGACATCTCATTAAGCACTGAAACTGGTTTAGCCTCAGGTGTCAGAAAGGGCAGAAACACACACATGCATGTACAGCTGAGCTTTTTTTAAACACACAGCAGCTTTAAAAGTGTGTGTTCCCGTGTGTCTGAGCATATATGTGTGTGTGCGTGCGAAAGTGTGCCCTCTCGTTGCCACTATGAGCTTAAAGTCTTCCAACTCTAAATCAAAGCACTGCAGCAAATATAAGAGAGAAGCTGGAGAGCAGAAACAGAGGCACACACACAGTCAGACGGCGAGGATTCACTGCGACAGAGGAGCGGCTCAAACTGCGACACACAGACAGGAATTAAGGAATTAGAAAGCAAAGAGAGGAAGAGGATCAAAGAAGAAGAGCAGCAAAATCACCCGTTTTTTATTTACGTGCACAGACACACGCCGCCAATCATCACGTGTATTTGTGAAGAGAAACATTCTCCACCTTAGTGTCAGAATATTGCACTGTTACCGTGGCAACAGGCATGTTCAGGACAAAAGAGTGTGTTGTTCCTAAAACACAAACAGTCCAAGCGGATTCTTCTTTTACATAAACATGTTAATGCGCCTGAGAAGATAGGATTATATGCAGGGGGGTTGAAAGTCACTGAGTCAGGGATAGTGTTTATTTACGTCAGAAGAAGTGATGCGCTGTAGCT